ATTTCCATGATTAAAGTAGGTTGATCCGAGCTGATTTGACTGAGCTGCGGTCAAAGAGAGATTACATCACTCTGGACATAGAGCACGCTCGATGTAGCTCAACCGATGTAATCTTGTGTGAGCGTAACTCAACCAAATCAGCTCGGATCAACCTACTTTAATCATGGAAATGAATGTCTAGAGCAGGAGCATCGTCCACCTACAATAGAATGCACAAAAGTTGGGAATGCACAAAAGTGGCTATTAGCTGCCAATGTATGATATAAAAGTGAGGGTTGCGTACCTTTCATGCATTGTCCCTCAAGTCCTGACTTTTTAGCTGAGTAACCGAAAGAGGTCCTTCTGTATCTTTGGCTCTCCAGGGTCTAGCTACTTGGCAATGAACAAAGACCACTTCTCATATAGCATCACGCTTACAAACATAAAGGTGCCTGTATCTCTAAACTTTACAATCAAACATGGGGTTTTTATTAGTGCAATGTGCTGTCGGCTTGGCCAACTGCACCTTGTGTGAAAGTTTCACGATCAAGCTTGCCAATCCCAGATTTCGCAATGTCGCTACCAGCCACTGGGTCTGAGGGTCGACCTCTTCGACAACGACGACCAAAAAATATTTTTTGGGCTGTTTGCGACATTGATCGTGAAACTGGCACCCAAGGTGCTGTTGGCCAAGCCGAGTCCATTGCTCTATTAAAAACCCCACGTTTCATTGTAAAGTTTGGAGATTAAGGCACGTTTATGTTTTACCTATGCTGTAAGCGTGATGCTGTATGAGAAGTGGTCTTCATTGTCGATAGCCTCGCATATGAATCAAAATGCAGAAGGACTTGTTTGTGTAACCCAAAACCAAGAGGACGGGATCTGAAGGGCCAATGCTATTGGTGGGAAGATGCATGATGAAGTAGCTCCATCCTCTATTGTAAGTCCAGCCCATGATAGCCATGTGGGAATGGTTCGTTCTTATATAAGGCTGCATAAGATAGCCTTGGGTGAAACTTGTCATAGGTAAGCATGTGCCACACTGTATCACTGCTCACTCTTTCTTGAACATAAAGAAACAAACTCACAATGAACCAAGCTTATACAACAAAGGACCTTCACTCTGAATTTACTGTCTTTGCAATACAAATGTTTGAGAATTGCTACTGCTTTTCATTCATCAATACATGAACTAGGGAGCTATGACAAGAGAACAAAAGCATCTCGATCCATACGATGACATGTAAACGATGATCCAACCTCGCTTTCCTACCGTCAAGTTTCTATTCCCCTTTCAACCCAAAAACCAATCAAGCGATCCATATCTCGCTCATATGAGCTGATAGCACGGTACCCTTCTGATGTTATGTTGAATCCAATTTTCATTCAACAATGACAAAGCTGATGAATGCACATGGTAGTGTGGATGTTTATAAAGTAAAGGTGATAAAGAACATTGCTAATTGAATAGCTACGGGTGAATCGCATCGAGTCCACAGGGATAATTGTGCCATTGTATTCTTGGTTGCTGCCGTCATAGCCACCCTTCATCCATAATTGCAAAACAGTTGCTGCATACATTGAGCCGAGCACTCCAATGTCATCCATGGTTGCACAACACTTTTGTCAAAGATAGAAGCCCCTCACCAATTCCATCCAATCCATCATCATCATCCTCAGCCGTATCCACGTGATCGTTCCTGCTGACAGCGCGACAAGGTAACCAAAGCAACATTCCAGGACTTCTCATCACTGTACTTGATCGCTTCCATCCATTCATCATAACCATTGCAAGTCTAGTAAGAAAGAGCCTCTGTGATCGCTGTTGATCTTCTTCCTTTTCCATCCGGGTATCGATTTGTCTCTTTCTTAATCATATTCATCACTGCGCAACCAAGTGAAGATTGCTTGTATTGCGGTGTACTTGATAGCTGATATGACATCCCATCCATAAGAATCCGTATGTATTGAAACAAGTTGCTACACGTGAATAAAGCTGCTTCTATACAATGGCTATCTGCTGTCCACGCAAAAACGGCTGTAAGGAAGGTTGCTGCAAGTAACTTGAGACAATAGAGTAAAGACCTTGCTATTGACGACTGTTGCTATGTTTGATGGTGGCAGAGAAGTGTGCAAGAGCGTGTGTTGTAGTAGAATGTCAAAGTTGTGAACGCTGTATGAGACAATGGAGTAAAGACATCGCCAATATCAACTGCTGGAATGAATGCTATTACGCTTGATCGTGGCAGAGCAGTGTGCAAAGGGGTGTGTTGTAATCAAGGAAGGCACGTGTTGTAGTAGAGTGACGAGAAGGTTGTGTACAGGCACTAGGCTTGCCATTCAGTCGAAAGCAATGGGATCAAGACAATCGTAGGATTGACATGATGGGCTGAAGCAGGACAATCGTTCGCCAGCGGTAGTTGTGCTTGAATGGGGCAACAGTTGAGAATGGGTGAAGAGGGAAGAAGTGGAAAGTAAATCGGTCGGACACCTCTTGTATAAATGCATGAACACTGTACATCAAACCTTGATGTTGAGATTGCCCCTCTTCGAACCTGAAACCTTCGCACAAGATGATCTTGGTCATGCTGATCAAGTTTGTTCTAATAAAGAGACCATGACTCATTATGAACATTTTGAAATGGGTGGGTTTGGGGGGAGGTCCAAATGTTGGAGAGATGATGGGCGGCATCTCGCATCAAGGAAGGATAAAAATTTCAAAGTTGCATCGTACGTACATAGAACCTTGTAGTGCACAACTTGATAGGTTTGAGTCGTTGGATGATGTACTTGATTGCACTTCATATCAAAGCAGCACATGAGCAGTGCAATGACAGGTTCTCCTTTGCAAATACAAATGTTCAAACTACAAGGCATTGTTAGGTAGTACAATGCGTGCAATGATGAACAGCAGTCTTAGGGAGTTGTAATCCCTATATGGTAAAGCAATCCAATGCTCGGCAGTGATGGTCTCTATATTAATAATGCTGCGCAAGAATGAAAGTGCTAGGCGACCCGAGTCGCTATATTAGTAATGCAAGAAAGTGGTAGGCGGTGCTTGTTTCTATGTATTAGTAATGCAAGGCGGTGCTATGATGTTGTCCCTATGTTAATAATGGAAGGCACCGTCAGAGAGTGGTAAGTAAGCGATCTCATTCAAAGTATGCATAGATAACACTGCTTATCATTGCCTTTCATTGTATTGCATTACAACATAGAGCCTTAGTATGCCCTGTTTTATTACATACAGGCTATACAACCCATCACTGCATAGCATTAGCAAAGGTATGAAAATTATGGTTGCATTCACGTGTAAACTTATTGTAAGATCGTTTATGTAATCGAAGGATGATAGTGTTAAGGTATTCAAACATTGACGAGCATCGAAGCGAGCCACCCGGGTCCCTAGTCATAATGTGATGTGGTCCCGAGATTATGTTTTGTGTCCGCTTTATTCTCACAGATGGTGATCATTCGTATGATACAATTAATATGCTTCTATCCTACTTTGGTTGCTTATAGGTTGCACTATACAAGCGGATGACAAGCGCAGCACACCAAACAACAACCCTTTGAGTCATTTTGTATATACATAGAGCGGAGGGTAGAACGACTACTGTGTTCAAGTGCAATATGAGCAAAAGGAGCAAGGATAATCCATTTGAGTAGTCGATACAGAATGGAATGACCGGAAGGCAAAGATTCTGCAACCGGCAAAATAAAAAGCAGGGTTGTTGCTGTTGAAGACTAATGGCTGAATCAGCAACAGTGATTTTCCTCATTTGTATTTCTTACCGCAGCCATCTTGGAAAAAAAAGGCGCACCCAAAGAAAGCCATATCATGGTACTTTGTTTTTTTCCCAGGTTCTCTTCATTCTCTACGCGTGCCAACAGCAACTCTCTCTCTCTCACTCACTAAGCCAATCGAGCAATGACAAACAAGTCAATTCCAGTCCGGCATGGTATTACATCGGCGTCGACAGAGGAGATGCACCATGTATCGTGTTCGAGGAACTATCGAGGCGCCCCATTCAAGGTCAAGTCTTCGGTCGATATGCTTTTGAATGAAGCCGACTTTGAAGGCAAAGAAGGTGGAGGAGCACAAGTGACCGTCTTGGAATATGAGCCTTCGTTTGTACACTACCTTGCCCATGTCAGCAACAACAACAAGAACAACCATAGCGAGTCAGCTTTTTTCACCATGTTACAAGAGGAAGAACAGTATCAACCACATGAGGGCGCATTATCAATGAAGCAGCATGTACGATCCAAGGTGGACATCATCATGCATTTGCCCAAGGATTTACTTTACAGCATCCTGTGGTATCTTGATCCAGCTGATTTAGTCGAGATGACAGCAGTATCGCAGGGATGGTGTCGTCGTCTTGATCACTATGCGGAGGGTTGTGGTCAAATCGACCTTTCTGATAACGATGACAACGTTGGTGGAACCTATGAGAAATTGGTGTCAATGAGTCCGCACGTCCATGGGGTGTCGGTCATGTTTTTGGAAACGAATGAACCTATCGATATGCTCTTGCAAGAAATATCGTCTTTGCCATTTACAGCGTTACGCTCACTCGATCTCGGTAAGTGATGGAAGGTTATCGTGTGTGTGCGTGCGTGTGTGTGTGTGTGTGTGTACAACAACAGAAAGATAACGGATGTCAAGGTTGTATGGTGACTAGCTCCCAAACGATATTTAGTATATTGAAGCAGGTCAAGGATACGTTGCTCCACTTGTCGTTATTGTGTGTCTCTCACGATCAAGCCTTGTGTTTGGGAACCATCTTGTCGATCTGCAGCAACTTAAAATGTCTTCAGTATTGCTTGTCGGAGCTGCAGGGCGTCGATCAAGATCTCTTCTTTGACAACAACAGCAGCAGCAGTGATACATCACATCCCCTAGAAACATTGCAATTGGTCGCACAAACGATCCATGGTCACGAGCTTGAACCCATCCTACGTTATTGCCCGAATATCCGGAGACTTGTAGTATGTGAATGTGGCCCTGATGCTATCGATGCTATTCGACACTATACGCCTCCACGCTTGGAATACTTGCACATCAACCCCAACCTTGAGAACATCTTTCCACCTTGGACCGACATTGAATACTCCATTCCTATCTCTGCCAAAGATCACTTACACACCGTCATTGCCAACAAACTCAACCCAGCCATGATGGATCGTTTATCGTTACTACTTGCTGATCACGCTGTATCCACGTTGGGCCATCTTCATTTGGATATCAATGCACCGCCATCATCGTCATCATCCATCATCACATCGAATCCATGGAAGTCAACAGCGTCTTTTGATTCATTGAGGATACTTACTTGGAGTGGTTTGGATACGACATGGAACAACGCATTGACTCGTGTGCTACAAGGATGCAACCAACTTGAGGAAGTGAATATGAAACAGTGCGACGCTCTCGATGATACAGTAGTGGATGCCATGTTGGATTTGACACGACTACAAAAGTTGTCATTGGAGGATATGAAGGATACCAAAAGAATACCCGGTCTATTGACTCGTTTTTTGGAACATCACGGCAGTTTACGGCAGGATTCACCACTCGAAGAATTGCGACTTGTGGCCGAACATTCGATTTTAACACCTGTGACCCTCGATGCGTTGGCCAAAGTGATGACCTTGAGATCTATCAGTTTACTCATCAGGGACAAGGATACTTCAATATCGGAACATGACATGGAAATGTTTATACAACACCTGGGATCGACGACATTGGCATTGCAAAAATTGGAACTCGCTTATCTCGAAGATTGTGTCACGGATGCTGCTGTTCAACGATTAGGGGATATTGATGGATTAATCCAAGTTGCTTTCATCGACCTAAAACGGATCACCAACGCCAGCGTCAAAGTCCTGTTGGAAGCATGTTCTAGTCTCCAGCTATTCAAGATCGAAGGCAGTCCACTGGTCTCTTATGATATGCTTGCTCAGATTGAATCTAAAATGATGGAACGTGCCATTCGATTATGATAGTTTATCCACCTCCCACACACACACACACACACACACACACTTTATATATCCGATATCATCTTTTGTTTATTTGCCTTGTCATGATCGCAGGGCATGTATAGTATAATGACTATAAGACGACGATTGATTTATAGCCCTCTAATCTCGGGCGAAAACTTGGACTGTTATTATACTTGTCAATAATGAGGAGTGGGTGGTGGTGCAGGGGAGGGTAGGAGGACATACACAACATTTCTCAAGTCGCACACAGATGATGGGAAGATCCAAAAGACCCCCCACACCCCCTGGATGGAACCATTACTTTGGATCACATGCAAGAGCATTGTGAGAATTTCGCTTGTTATATCATCCATGAGTTTCCTTTTTTCCCTTGTCTTTTGCCTCTTTTCCACTTTTATCCTCGCATGATCCTGTCTACTGCTGCATCCTCGCGTGCTCGTCATTATGGTGCTTCTCGGTACAAAGAGAGCTTACATAACCCATCACCACCACTACTACCACGTGGTGGTTGCTTCTTCATGTATCACTGATTTATACATTTTCCCAGGATGCTGACGATGCGTCGTTGCCGAGGGCTCGCTACGCAAAAGACGTTTGATAATCAATCCAAGCTACCTAGATTACCTGTTCCAGACTTGGAGGCAACAGCTGAGCGTTATAAGCGTAGTCTACTTCCATTACTTAATCAACAAGAATATCAACAAGCGAGTGCCAAAGTGGATCGTTTTGTGAACAGTGATTTGGGGAAAACGTTGCAGGAACGTCTTTATGCTCTCGATAAGCGTGAAGCAGCATTGGGTCTTTCATGGATCGATAGGCTTTGGCTGGATAAAGGATATCTCGAATACCGAGCACCGAGCATGATTAATGTCAATTGGTGGAACCAGTTCCAAGACCCACCTCAGGGCTTAAGTCAACAAGTTCCCCTTGGTATGGCAAGTGAAGCTCAATTGCAACGATCAGCAGGCCTCATTACGGAATTGGTAAAGTACTCCAACAGAATCAACGAGTAAGTAGTGGTTGTGGTGGTGGTTGCTATAGTGTTACCATGGCGACGACGTTGCTTATGTCATAACATAGGCAAGCTATCCCACCCGACGTTACACGTTCAGGCCCCTTTTGCATGCATCAACTCAAAGGCATTTTTGGTACAAGCCGTATTGCACGTATGCCAAAGGACACTCTCATTACATCATGGCCTGCTACTGCACAACACGTGGTGGTCATGTACAAGGATCAATTTTTCAAGGTGCCTGTATTTGATGGAAAGGGTCACGTGCTATCCTTGAATGCTATGCAAAAGTAAGTAAAGGGGGGAGAATGAGAAAATAGGAATGGCCTTGTATTCACCATATGCATTTTAGTCAGCTTCATAACGTCGTATCTCAGGTCGATCATGCAGCGGCCGAGCAATTGCAACCACCTGTCGGCATCATGACCAGCGAAAACCGAGATACATGGGCCAAAGTCCGCCAAAAGCTTGAGTCTAATGCCATCAACACCGACACCCTTCACGCCATTGATACGTCCTTGTTTGTCGTGTGTCTGGACTATTACAGCTCACCCGATAACATTGATAAGAGTCATCGTAACATGTTCCATGGCCAAGAAGCACGTAATCGCTGGTTTGATAAATCTATCCAACTCATTGTGGAGAACAATGGTCGTGCAGGTGTCAACGGCGAGGTAATAAAAGCAACAAGGCATGATGATGACTTTATTAATGCATCTATTTAGCACTCCCCAGTCGATGCTATTATTCCATTCAATGCATTTAACCATGTGCTCCAGCAGTAAGTGTGTGAGGGATGAAACGAAGGAACGTATACGCCTAAGAAACATGGGTATGCACAATAGTGAGGAAAAGATCTATATCAACCCTGGTGGACAAGGCGATGGCACAATCGAATCACCCACATGGCTTACATGGAATATTGATATTGAGACCGGTGATGCGTTACGTGAGGCACAATCCAATGCTGCCAACTTGATCAATGATATGGACAGCTTGTTGTTACAATACTCTGGTTATGGTTCCAACTTTATGAAAAAGGCCAAAAGCAGCCCTGATGGATGGATGCAAATGGTCTATCAGCTCGCCTATTATCGTCAATACGGCAAACCATGCCCTACTTACGAATCTGCATCCACTCGCAAGTTTTTGACAGGTCGTACTGAAACGGTGCGTTCATGTTCTGTTGACACGGTAGCATTCACCAAGGCTTGGGAAGATAAAGATGTCAAGGTATGTACTATAGTAGTACAAGCTTAGAACATGCGTCTCTGATTTTTTCTCGTTTGTAGATGACCGATAAGCTTGCATTGTTGCAAAAAGCGATTACTTCTCATATGGAATACATGAAAGCAGCTAGCAATGGTACGGGCGTCGATCGTCATTTGCTTGGCTTGCGTTGTCACATGACCCCTGAAGAAGCCAAGTTGGATGACGCTGCCATGTTTTCAGATCCATCTTTTGCCGGGTCACAGTATTGGCTTTTATCTACCTCCAATATCTCTCCTGGGGATTATTCTCATGGCGGCTTTGGTGCTGTCGTGCCTGAAGGTTATGGTCTCGCCTATGCTATCAGCAAAGAATCATCTAAAACCACCATTTCATCATGGCATCATTATACCGGTACCGATTCAGCAACATTTAGAAAGACTATTCGAGATGTATTGGATGAATTTGGAGACGTTGCAGAGAGGTATCTTATTCAACAATAAAGAAAAAACAAAAGGGTGTGGATTTAGACTACTACTATTTACAAGCCATCGGCAGCATCTTTTTCGTGCTCGGCCATTTCTTCAGCCTACGGGGGTGGGGGTGGGGGAGGAAGGATAATGAATACAATGTCAACCATGATGAGAAAGAAACCCTATACTTGCCAACATGTTTTGCTGATCAACCAACCAGTCAGGGAGGTTGGGTGGAAGAGTGACTAAATCCAGGTCGAATAATTCAATGAATTGCTCATTGACATAACGTGCCTTGGTTCCTGCATAGGCGCGATACTATGGATTTTCCTCAATGAATGACCATGAAATGGAAAAAGACGCATCCTAACCTACCTCGGTGATGATCGAACTAAAATTCCATCCTTCCAATTTCCGTAAGCATCCAACAAGTGTGCCTGATTCATGGATACCAGATCTATCATCCCATCACTACCATTCAATCTCATGTTTTCATGTATACTTGATATCGCTTACGTGCACATGATAAGAACTGGATGCGTTTCTTTGTTGAGAATAAGTTCGAGACCTTCCTTGATCAATTCCTCGGATACGGGTCGCCACGTGGAGGGCTGTGTTGGCTTCCATGTAGCCATACCAAGATGAACCTATCCATAGATCCCTTTATGAGCAGCCCATACTACCAAGCAGTGTATCCTACAAGAAGAACTCTACCAGCTTCATGCCACATTCGTCCATAAGATTGGAAGTGACTCGATTGGGCATTTCGGGACTCAACATGACGACTGTTTTGAAGTTGATCGCCTTAATAAAGGGGAAGTGTAAAGGTTGCAGCATATCCGAGCGATAGATGCCAGGCTCGACAATGCCAAATTGTTCTGGTGGTGTCAGTAGTTGTTGTATGTTGCCATGGTTCATATCGTGTTGGGGTATATCGGAAGGTTGAAAAGTGAAAAAGGCAGCAGCAACGAGCGATTCAAGTACCACCACCACCCACTTTTTTTTGGAAATCCAAATGTCAAATCAAATACTGTGTATGTTTTATTCTTGGTCGCATTGCTTTTTTTTACATAATGAACTGTCAAAAGTAAGGTTTGGGATTTCCTTCAGCAGCAGAGGAAGAATCCTTGTCAGAATCAGCCTTTTGTTGTTGCTGTTGTTCTTCAAGATCCTTAAAAATGCGTGCCCGCGCTTCCTCATAGGCCGCCTTACGTTCCTCATAGGTCATGTTTTTACGATCGACACTCGTGCCCTCTTTTGATGTGGCGGTGCCACTGGATGATGATGACATGGGCGAATGTCTTCCTCGAGGTCCGTTTCCATTCGTTGACTTGTCTTGAGATCTACGTCGCATGATTTTAAACTTTGGAGCAGAATCAGGCTGTTCTTTGGTTTCTGGTTCCACCACTTGAGCAAAACTCGTCTCGGGTCTAATAATAAAAAAAAGACAATGAGCACCACCACCACCACCGTAATGAATAGCCAAGCCATCCCCATGCTCCTTCTTCAACTTACATGGCAGTCTTTGGATTCTTGCACAGAGTGACTGATTTACGCATGGGTTCATAGAAATGCGATAACTTGAAATAAGGAGCCACCTTGTGTACCAAAAGTCGCTGGTATGAATTCATTTGTGGAAGATCCAATCTGTACAACCTGATATCATCATGTCAATCAATCCACCTACTATTCATTGTGTGTTTTTACAATGACACTTACTGTGAATTGTTGATGAATGCTTCCAATTCCTTTTCCAATTTGAGCAAAAAGATCCTTTCTTGTTGCTTTTTCAAAACATCCACAATGAATGGATCGAGTTCATCTGAAAATTCCGATTCGTCTCCCATGAGTTGTTGTTGTTGTTGAAGATAATGAGGTGGAGGTGGAAGTGGTGGTTGTTGTAATGGGGTTGATTGTTGTCCCATGGATGATGGAGATAAAATGATAGGTTGTTGATAGGCACGATTTTGCATAGCTTGGTATTGAGCAGGCGGTGGATGAAATACAGGCTGCTGTTGCTGTTGTGGATGTGCCATGGATCGTCGATAGCCGCCCATTCCCATCATCATTGTAGGTGGTCGACCTCCTCCTCCTCCTCCTTCTCCTGTTGTCGGATCAAATAAAGGTGGACCATATCGCATGGTGTTGGGGTTGTTGTTGCTACCTCGATTATAGTAATTAAAGTCGTTGTTCATGGGTCGAATGCTACTTGGGATGGATGTGTCGTTGGTGGAGGTTATGGAGTGTTGTTGATCATCTTGTTTCTCAGTCATGTCGGAACAGCTAGAATTGGTGGCGACAAGAGACTATCATTAAACATAAGATATCGTTGCCCTGGAAACGACATGGCACTTTTATATATATACCATAATCTATTCTTTGTCATGTAGATTTCCGCTTTTTGGTGCAGATGGCGGGGAGGGAGCGAAAAGAGATGGATAATCGGTCAATTCGTTGTGTACATGAAATGCCACAATGTGGGCAGTACAAAGAGGTGAGAATCAGCCGGCGTCAAGAGAAAAGGAAAGGGAAAAAGAGGATTGAAGCAATCGAGCTTTGAAAAAAGGGCAAAAGTGTCAAGAACAGCAAAAACAGAAACCGACCCATCCATTCACAGCCTGCTGATGCTTAACCCGCTTAACCCACGCGTCACGGGCCGGACGACGGAACGTCATTTGGAGAGGTGGTGGTAAGTTTAAAGCAAAGCGTGGTACTCTTACTCAGTCGCCTGAAACCTTTCTTTTTCTTTTCTATTCTCTTCACTCTCTCTCACTCTCTCTCTCTCTTTCTCACACGCTCAACAAGACACATTCGTCGCAATGCAAGATCAGCCTCAGGACCCATCCAAGCCAAAGTTGAAATGGTTGCCACTCGAAGGAAATCCAGATGTAAGCCATTGGGCCACCCTTTAAACTTATGCGCAGCATACTTATTCCTTCCATAGGTCTGGAACAAGGTCAAGCATTGACAAGCGTAATATGTATCACTTTTTGCATAGGTTAACACATCGTCTATAGATCGCTCATAAGCATGGAATGGATCCAAATTGGTCTTATACTGATGTTTATGGTGAGTTTGGAGCGGGTTCATGCAAGCTGACGTTGTTTGATTGACACGCATTCGTAAGGCTTTGATCCTGAACTCTTGGACTTTGTCCCTCGTCCTTTGGCTGCCGTCATCTTTCTTTATCCCATCACGGAGAAGTCTGAGGAATTTAGACATGAAGAAGAAGCTCGAGTCACCAAGCGTGAACAAGATATCAGCCCTGATGTCATGTTTTTCAAGCAAACAATTTCCAATGCCTGTGGCATGATGGCTCTTATTCATTCACTTGCAAACAACAAAGAATTACTCGGTAGGTGTCCATTTTACGTAAACACATACGAAGTAAATCATGAGATTGACCGCAACGTCATGTGTGTGTGTGTAGGTCCCGGATTGTTCCAAGATTTGATCAACAAGGCTGAAGGAATGACACCTGAAGAAAGAGCTGAATTGTTGGAAGGATGTGAACAACTTGCCAATGTTCATGAATCGGGTGCACAAGAAGGACAAACCAAGGTAAGAAAAAGAGCATGATCCAAAGATGACATCAGCTTTTAACCCTATCATGGATCGTTTACATAGCCACCCAGCCTTGAAGAAGAAATCAGCTTGCACTTTGTATGCTTTGTCGAGGTGGATAGTCATTTGTACGAGTTGGATGGTCGCAAGTCGTTCCCCATCAACCATGGCAAGTGCACAGATTTGATGGAGGTAAGTTTTAGAGACAAGAGATGATGGATCGATTTATTCATGTAACCTGTTATTCCCTCTAGTGCTCGGCCAAGGTGATGCGTAAAATGATGGAACGTGATCCAGGACATCAAAATTACAGTGCCATGGCTTTGACCAAAACCCCCCAATGATGAATAAGAATACCAACTCTCCCCACAAACACACACCCACACCCTAGTATCAATATCTGCTTATAGCTCCTCCTTCAATCCCCCTCTCATATGAGTAAAAATAGCTGCGTCTTTATCGCATATGTGAGCATGACTATTTATGTGACACGTGTTGCTGACAACAATATGATGCTGTTAATGGTAAAATTGATATGCATTCGTCATCATCATCATCCGATATGTAATGCCGTTCTGCTGTACAATGATGTTTATTATGCTTGATAAGGATCTTCAATACGACGATAGCATGCAAGATATTTATCTCCTTGATTACGTTCCACCTTTTTGCCTTCTTCTGTTGCTGTGCGTACATGGGGAACCACTGGATCCTTTTCCTACAATGCCATTTTCCGTTACAACCCCATTCTTTTGATGTTTTCGCCTCTTCTCAACTTACACATTCTTCATCCGAGATACGTTCAAACAAGGGATGTTCTTCAAGATGCTTGACCATCCATTCATGCAAATCCTTGACATCCGTGATTGTATACAAAATGCCACCGACACGAAGAGCATAAGCATATTCGGCTAACAATGTGTGACTGAATAAAGAAAGCATTAGCTTGGTTATTGTTCCATTCGCCTTGCCCTATGAGGGGATGATTCCTCCTCCACCCTTTCAGTTACCTGATGATTCTAGCCTTGTGTTTCCGTTGCTTAAAGTGAGGATCAGGGAACAAAAAGAACATCTTGGTCAATTGACCCTTTTCGAAAAAGTTGGGCAAAAACTTCATAGCATTCATTCGCATGATGGAGACGTTTTGATAGGAGCCTGGATGCTGGATACGCAAAGCCTTGATACGTTCATACACGTAGTCTTCCACCTTCATTCGAATCTCCATACCTAATAGTATCCTTGACAATGAGCCAATGTTATCCATCTTTTTGCTTTCCTTCACACTTACCCAACATGAGCGTGTCGGGAAATAGAGGTGCCAATGCGATCAACAAACCACCATAACCACATCCAATATCAGCAAATTCAACCTTCTTTTGCACTTGGCCCTCCTTTGCAGGATAAAACTCGGGATAGTGACGTGTCCAATCCATCATAGAAGGGTTGGGAGGGCTATACGCGTAAATAAATGGGTCAATCGCATGCTGGATCGATCCAGTGGCTTTGGGTTGTTGCTGCTGCTGCTTACTATTCAAGTTGGTGATCGGAAAACGGATTGGCATGAGCGCGTTGTCGGTAGTATCGTTTCTGTGCAATGAATGCCCCTTGAGAAGACGGTCGATGAGATCACATGAAGCGAGCTTACTTGAGGCAACTTGGCTTCTGTCATTTTTTTTGTTGGTTGGTATGCAAGCAAGAGGGAAATCCAAAATTTCTTTGGGCTGACTTTTTGGTAGGATACATCTATTCCCCTCCCCTCTCCTTGTGTTCCGACGCAGGACGTTGTGCTCGAACCGCTGACTTTGAGGCTGCATGCTAATGTTCACCTTATCATGGATCAGAAACCAGCAAAAGTATATAGGGTAGTAAATGGTTTCTTTTATTTTAATGACTATACACACTTTGAAGATTGCGGGGAGAGGGAGGGAGGGAAGGAGGGGTATGCAATGGATGAAGAAGAACACAATGTAGAGGAGATAAAGATAATTACATTAATAACGATTGTTGTTGTTCATTTCTGGTGATGCCGAATTACTATAATGTGTGTGATCAGGCATGGGCATGGGTGTGAACGAACCACCATGTTGTTGTGGCGGGCTTGGCACAGTGTAAGGTTGTTGTGCCATAGGTGGCTCCGGCGAATGATGTGCATAATAATCGTCAAAGGGCGAAGGGTGTGCAGCAGCAGCATTGTTGGTAGTGGGTTGCTCTGGATAAGGATCGTATTGTTGATAAGGAGAAGCACCACCACCACCATAGGAATCATGCTTTTCTTGATGTTGACCAAAAGGTGAGCCATAAGGGCTGCCACTTGTATGATGGGCAGGAGGCGGAGGAGATTGATGCAATGGACGCGATTGTTCAAATGATTGAGGTCGCATATCGTCTTCTTCATAATAGCCTGCGTAATCGCCTTTTCGTCCTCCTCCAGGTACAATGGGTTCGTCGTACATGTCCTCATTGTTCATTTCATGTTGTTGCATTTGAAGCACGGCTTGCTTGTTTGCTTCATGTTCCTTGAGGTTTTGCTGGATCGTTTGCTTTTCCTTCCAAAAGATGATCAAGGTACACACCAACGATCCAAGCCATAGAAAGCAGGTCGTCCATGAAAACCCTGCAGCCACCTTGGCATTGGTACACTATACATACATGCGTTGTCTATGTATTAGATACCATGTGTATACCCTAAATCCCTTGAATGTACACTACCTGTGTTGGCCAAGCATTTGTATATTCATCACCATACTCTTCACGCATGTCACCAAACAAAGTGCAGTTGTCGGGATCACCTGAATGGACGCTCATGGCTATACCAGCAGTGGCCCAAAATACCGTGTAGAAGCTTGTAAAGATCACTATAGAGGAAGGTACATACACAGAGAATGTAAGTTTTTGTTTCGCGTTGATAGGGAAAATAAGGATGAGTTCTCACAGTTGGTCCTTGGCTTTAAACAAAACTTGCCAAGGCGACGGAATTTGCCTTGTTTATCATAGATCCATGGAAACACGACCAAACCAATAGGAACGGCGAGACTTGATAACGCGACAAAAAGTGTCCAGTTGGGCCCTGATTGACTGGATCCCTTTATAGGCAAATGGTATGAGCACAACAGGTTGAATAGACTTGGCACACACACACACACACACACACACACGCACGCACACACACACAAAGAAGATACATACGTAGAACTTCATTTCGGTTGAAATGACGGACGCAATCACGCACACTGTAATAAACGTGCAAAGGACTTGAAGGATATGCAGGATGGATTTGATTGTATTGGACTGTGGAAGACCAGCAGGCACTGAGACCGGTAGCTCAATGTTGAAAGACTGGCCCATAGTTGCAAAGGTGGAAGGTGTTGGAGAACGTTGAATGTAAAGAAGAAGAAGAAAGAAGAAAAAGAAAAACAAGAAGAGGCCACCGATTGTGTATGTTTGTTATGGCTGTTGTACTTTTGCTGCAGCCACAACAACACACAACAGCTCATGTGTGTCACCGGATCACATACATTTGCACTCTCGGTCCGCATGTTATTTTAGGATACCCGATGCGATGAGCCCGCCAAGCAATTTTGACACTTTTCGTACATGCTCGCTCATCAAGCTTTTTTATGATCCAAAGACAAACATCTACTATAGGAACGTGCATGTTCGCTTTCTCCAAAAGACATACTCTTTGTATGTACCATGTTTTGGTCTCATTATCATCGTTGCCATGGTAACACAAAAGCATAGCACGGAACCGTTGCTCCGGATACATGGCCAATAATGGGAACATCGTCGTCATCGTTCAAGGTACATGTACCATCCGCTGGGTATGCTACCACCAGTGAGCTCAGCATATAGATCGCACACACAATCTATCAATAGCAGCAGCTGCTTTTGCTATCACATGAAGCCACCTGTCATCATGCAAAACCCGGATTTTTTATGTATTAAACTCATCATGCCGACCATTATTCACTCCAGCCAATAATGGCCCATTTCATTGTCCTGGTAATGATCAATGTTTCACCATGCGATGGTGTTCCTTTGTTCATTCAAGTATTCAAGTGGCGAGTTCCTGGAAACAATGGCTGTACCTCGTTTTACAACCATCTTTATTATAACAATAGGAAACTTTGGCATTGAAAGAAGCACTTTTCACAGGCACCATAAAGGCAGCTTACCACCTAAAATCACGTACACAGCACTCTTGGATCAAACAAAGAACACTTGTGAAAAGACAATGAGCACGATAGCTACGTAGTAGGTGTGCTAGTATTATAACATGTTGTGTGATCACTGTGGGTAGTGAGCGGTGGTTTGACGCATATCGGAAATGGGTTTTTAATTGTATTATGTATAAGCTAGTCCTTGATGCAACGGGGAGGAGGACATGGCTCAGGGATATTGGAATATGACAATGATAAAAACAAGTGAGAGAAAGAGGAGGAGCGTGCGTGTGTGTGTGTGTGTGTATGTTGTGAGGAGTGAGAAATGGTGGCGTTGACAAAATAACAGAGATGGGGTAATTATGAATGTGGAAGAGAGAGCATCAAAGGATGATGAGATTCTTTTTTTCTTTTCACCCACCTTCCATCTATGTGCATGTGGCTGACAGGGGGATCTAGGATACAAAAATGACGAGGAGGCGTGGAATAAATAGGGTTCTAGACGTTTCTTTGCTGCAAGCCATCGCGATGCAAATTGACCGAACTTCCTGTTGGGGTACCAGCCACAATGCCTTGATAATCTAAGCGATAAATCTTGGGAGGCAGATTCTTGCCAAATTGACGGTTCACATGGTTGGCACAAAGCAACGCCGATACGAGGACAAAGAGATGCAATGGAAGGAGAGAGAACGCTGTGATCCACGTATATTTGAGAAAGTCCTTTGTAAAGTTTTGATACTTGAACTTGCAACCTGGCAACAAGGTGCGAGGGAAACACTTGTTGGATCGCTCATGGAAATCCGTAAATGACTTGTAACCACAACAATGAAGCTGAATAGATACAAAGAATTAAGGTTACACACATCGTGAACAATAGCAAAAGGGGGGGGCGCAACTTACATTGGCCTGGATTCTTGCTCTTCCATCGGTGGTGAGGTCGTAATGCCATTGGTACGACAATTTACCCTATTATTAGAGAGAGAGAGAGAACCACACGCCATGAATGTCCAGGTCTTTTTATCCATAATGAAAACAAATGTAACCCACCTCAATGTTCCACTTGGCTTTTCGGTAAGCAATGTAACCAATGGCAGTGATCATACCAAAGCAGACCCACATAAACAGATTGTAGATGGTAAGGATACCTCGATGATTCAGCATAATGCCGACAAAGCCCAGCAAAGAAGAGAATAGACAAATGACACCCGTGGCTGTAATGACTATGATGTTGCGTCAGGAATTTGCTTACAATACAAGGTGCATACATGCATACATACCATTAAGAATCATGCGTTCACCCACAATCACGACATCAGCTCGGAGATAGACTACGCAAGCGAATCAATCACACCATCCTCTATCCTATACCCTTCCTTCATACTCAATCTTACATTTGAAAAAGGTCAAGAGTGCATATAACAAGATGGCCAGACCATAGCAGAACAACTAAATGACCCCATATTAGATGAATGATAATAGACCAAAATAGGAGACATTTACCAAAGTATTTGAGAAAAGGATCCACCATTTCCGTTTTGTCCAAATCTGGCGCTTCTTTTGATCAGGATCAGGCACATATCGTTTCATCACGTGTAAACTATTGGATTCCACCGAACTACGTGATGACGCTCCAAATGAGTGGCGCGATTCCGATCTCATCCATGGCAATACAGGCTCGGGCAAGTCTTCCACGGAATCCCATGGCGAGTTGGCTTCGCTAGAGAATCGTTGTTGTGGGTGGTTGGGTTGAGTTGGCACTGGCAGGTGCCCCATTTCATAGTTGCTGTTGCTCATGGCTATATGTGTGTATGTGGGTTGTTGAATGAATAAAGGAGATGGTCCGTGTGAAACAAAGGTTGTGGTTGTTGTTGCAAATGTATTAGTGTTGGATGATCTCTTAATAATTCTCTCTGTCGCGTGGGTCGATGAAATGACACACACTCGTTCTTGCTCAGATCAAATAAGAGGTGTATAAAAAAAGGGTAGGGGGATAATTCGATCACTAAAAAAAGTGAGCTCGAGAACGAAAAGAAAAGAGAGAGAGAGAGAGAGAGAGGAGGAGGAGGGTTTGATTCTGATACTGAAATGAGATCGCCCATGGAAACAAAAGTTTGCGAACACAAAATTAGGCTTCAGGGCGTACAGCAAAGAAAAAGACCGCTATTTTTAGGTTTGGTATCTACTCTTGTTCTTTATCCATCAAGCCACAGTGCACCTCATTTCATTTAAAAATAGTCAATCTCCTTCTTCTCCTCCTCCTCCCTGCTGCAATGAATGAGAAGATGGTCATCATCATTATCCAGGGGAGAATGAACTTGTAAATTGTAGTCGAGCTAGAATCATAGGTCGTTGAATTGAATAATCCTTGTCGGATGATGCTTATCTCGGTTCGCAAGAGAAACTTCCATATCTAAGCCTTCTTGATGCTCTCATTTCTCATGGATCCTTATCATCATCAATGCGTAATCGTCGACTATGTCAGGTTTAGCTCGTTACCTACATGCCGGATAATACACAGCCACACTTTTGACAAGTATCGTGATGTTATATCTAAAACCTATCCTTGCTCTTGAACCAACCGAGCCGAAAGCTGTATTTGTGTGACAGAGGGCGTTGTTGCTTTGAAACAGCTGGTGGCATCCCATCATCGAAGGAAAGGAACAACAGCAGCAGTATTCTTTTCCCTGCATAAGCATAGCACGATAAAAATTAAGAGATTTTGACAGCTGCAGCTGTCGATGACCCTGCCTCCTAGTAACATAGTACGGCGTTCTTTACTTAACATGTCCAATCATTGAATCCAGCCCAATGTATATAACATGTTGCGTTTTTTGTTGGTACCCAGGGTGGATTTGGTATATGTGAAATGGGCTGTCATCAAAAAAGGAAAGTCAATGTAGTACTGCTCGACCTTGTATCACCATCCCTTTTTGCCCAAATCTGAAGGGATCTCAGCCGGGATGCCCATGGCATCATTCACTCTTTGTAATTGGGTCGTTTGTCTTCTTGGCATAACGCAGGGTCAATAAGTATATCATTCATCTTGTCATTGGCCTAGATGATTACCCAATCAGATGGTTCACATTATTCTTCTTCTTCCTTTTCTCTCCCCCCTCTCCCAAATAATGGGTGACAACATACTATGTACATCTTGACCCATAAAGGCTATTTCCATTGATGACCGTTTTACCGAGGATGGGCAAAAAGCTTAAATAATGGCATGCCATCTTGCTGTTTACCAAAGAAGAGCACGTTTCCATAAATACGTTACTTTCCTCTCCTGTGTTTTATTGTAAATTTCTCCCATTTTGCATCATTACACACACTGTTAAGCGGAGAATGGACATCTCCGCATAAAAGCAAACATTGCGCCGGTATGTAACAATCGCCGATGCTCGCATTTAAAGCTGTAATCCTACCCTCTAATATACATTATCAAAGTAGATGAAATCTATAAACAACGAGTTATCAATTAATTATAGCATGTAGGATACGTCATTCATTCGCTGAGATGGACATGTAAACCATGTGTGCGTGCGGCGCCACACACACATTTGCCGTGGTGGCACCATTTTGCATCATCATCATCTAATGGAGGAGGAGGAGGGGTAAACTCAACTTTTATGCAGTAAAATCATTCCACAATGAGGGGTACTACGACAAGGGATATATACTATACAAACGTGATATCGATGATGTGGTATTTCTCTCTCACTCTCTCTTGTTCTTTATGCGACTGCAGATCCATATCCATCTTTTGAAATGCTGGTATTGCTTTGCAACAAACGAGCCTCCTCACTGCTTTCAAGGGATGGTACATGGGAGCTTGGATTTCTTTGAGATGGGTAAAGCGAAGCGACTGAAGTGTCTCCAGAGCCACCGATGGCACCACTACCTTGCTGCTGCTTTGCAATTTCGGCTTCATGCTTTTCATACTTGTCAGCGACCCACATGGCAGCACCCACCACATTCGTCCACATGAACAGCAAGTTGAAGAAGGGGACTAATTCAAGGGCGACAGCCACAGCACCAAAGCTGCAGTACGACCAGCGGTGTTGCCAAGCGTAATGTCGTGATTCAGTAACTCGGAGACCTCGGAATTCAAGATCATAGTGGATATGTTGTCCCCAACTATAAAAGGTGTCAACGTCAACAATGGGCCTTTCATCACACACACACACATATACATAGATACATACCATGCTGGCCATCCATTAATGCAACAAGCAATCACTGTACCGATGACTGGGATTAGATGCAACGGAGCAGTAATGATCCATCCGAGAATCTACAACATCATCATTGGTTACACCGCGTCTTGGCAAGGCAACAACAACAACCCCTCCTCAAATACCTGTGCCAGTACCAATATCAAACCAAGCAACACACTCGAAGACATGCCACGACAGCAGAGGATAACACCATTGACGTCGACGCGATGTTCGAACATACGATCCATACCAAGTGCCTTGAGCGTGGCATCAAATAAGATATCTTGAAAGGTGGCCACGATGATAGCAAAAAAGAGGATATCCAGGATGGCTGATTCCAACAAGACAAAGATAACAGAAACAATCCATGCGAGCCAACTGGGGCAGTTGGCATTAATCAGTGCATGTGCTTGGAGTGGTAAAAGGTAACCAAACGACACCACAAGTGAAAAGATACCAAACGCCAACGTCAGGAGGAATGGACACAATACTTTACGCCATAGCTAGTAATGTGTTGGTGTACGCATTAGAAAAAAAAAAGTAGTCAAAGTGCTCATGTCGTACTTGCCTGTGGATGCGTAATGAAATAAAAGACACCTGAAAGTGGGTACGTGTAAGGGGGTGCCATGATCAACAGTGGCTCTCAATGGTGTGTGTGTTGTGTGCCGGGTGAAAGAAAGAATAGTAGTAAAGGGTACTTTATAGGTGGGAGCGGAAAGTAGTCCTTATGCATTGTAACACACAGCGTATCGGATGTACGAGATAAAATGGCCACATCACTGCTGCAGAGTGTGCAGATCGCGACACATTCCTTTGTAATGTAGTACATTTGCTATAGAAGTTCATGCTGTGACATTAACACATACCACATCAACAAGTTGTCGTTCATCATTAAAACAATACGAATGCGGATGCTGCTCTGCGTAATGACATTTTAGGCAAAGAACGATTCATTTGGCCAATCTAATATACGCTTTATCAATGTGTTATTATGGTTAATGCAATATCAGGTATGCGGATGGAGGACGTATGATATGCATTGTCGGATGTCGTTTTTAACATTTCCGACGACGACGACGATCATCCATGATGGTGTGCAGTAACGGCTTTCCCCTCTTTCTTTCCTTACAAGCAATCGTGATCTTCAACAAGAGCACAGGCCCATAACAACAGCAGTATTGGAACATGGAAAGAGAGCATACTTTTGTTAAACACACAAAGGTCAAAAAGCTTGTTGTTGTTACACGCCAACCATTTGTGGGGAGGTTCATTATTATCCTCCGCGTGTGTATGTGTGACCCAATGTTGCCACATTCGATAAGGATTGTTAAGTGAATCCATCGCATGAAAGTCTATGCATCCATTATAATGGCGTCCTTTTTTCTTTCTCTTTTGTATTCTCACGGCTGCAGATGAATTTCTCCCCTTAACCAGCTGATGGATCAAATGCCCACCCCACACACTTCGACTCACGGATGATGAATGGCATAAACAATGTATGTATGTATGGGTGTATTTGAATATGGATATACAATGAATCATGATCAAGTGAGAGTAATAGTAGTAAGAGTAGCAGTGGTAGTAATAGTAGTAGTAGTAGAAGTGGGTCACCCGTTTAAGCATCTCGGGCTCTGAAATTGTAGCTCTCATTAGGCCTTGATCAACGTCACCGTGAGCAATCCCACCGTGGGCAATCCCCCCTTCTCTCGCTTCTTCACTTGTTAGTATATACCTACTGGTGCGATATGAGTGTTGCAGGCTCGGCATCGTCACGAGGAACCCATTCCCGATCCAGATCACGCTCACGATCAAGGTCGCGTTCTCCACTCTACAATGACGGCCGTTACTTTCCACCTCCACCACGCTACACAGCTTCCCGTTACGATCCTTATAGCTACCGACCGAGAAGTCAAATGTCAGCTGCACTAGACGATTATCGAGAATTACGCGAACGAGAACGGGAAAGAGAACGTGACAGAGAACGAATGCCCGTTGGGATGAGAGATGACAGGTACTTGCCTCGAAGCAATAGAGACAGGTACGATAAAACGATCCACTTGCATGCACGCACTCTTTGTATATACTCCTCAACACGCTTCATCATCATTGGATTATGCTCTTACTGATTTGTATTTGTCATTATCAGAGATGTCCGTTATTCACGTTACTATCGAGACGATATACCACCATCTCATCGTTATTCACCATCTTCGTCCATGTTTCCTCCCCGTGATTATCCGAAATCAGCTTCTCTTCGCAATGATGGTAGGTGCACCTCATTGACTTTTGGTATGTTTGCATGACTCACAAGTAAGGTCACCCTTGTAGTGAATTCCGATCGAGCAAAGGATAGCAAAGATGATATGCGTCTATCGACCAGCGGCGGCAGCGGCAGCAACAGTAGTAACAACAACAACAACAACAGCAGCAACAACAACAACAATAATAATAATGGTGGCCATGATTCGTATACACCCTCCTCCACATCCTCCTCTTCTCGTTATGGCAACAACAATGATTGGCATCGTGATCGACGTTACCGAGGTGACGATGAATACCGTTGGCGAGGTGATTTGGATATGCGTCGGGAAAGGTAACACATACACAATGAGATTGAGGCGCCCCCCTTTTTTTGTCTCACTGAGATTAATGCAGCTTGGTGTGGGATGTTACTATTTTCTAGCTTTGCTATGCGATATGAAGGACCACCACCACCACCACCACCTTTATCCATGCCTTTTGCTCCTCCTTTTGGTGGCGATTCCTATCGACCTGATCGAGACCGTGATCGTGATATTCCACCCCATTCACCAAGTGGACCTTATTTTGACAGAGAGGATCGTGATCTTTATCGACCTTCACGTGGTGCTGGTGGCGACAATGATCGATATCGAACAGGACGTTCTGGTGGAAGATCTTGGGGTAACAGCAGCAATAGCAACACCATGCGAAGTCGTGAACGTGATAGAGAAAGCATCAAAAGTCCTCGCAGCGTAACATCGGTTGGTAGTGGATCCCATTGGTCATCATCACGTACAAGAGGAGGAGATGATACCAGATTTGACAACAATCATCGTGATGAAGAAAGAAACACAAGGACAATGGAGCCTTCAGGTAAAGAGTTTGAATGATGGAATTTGTATATTCAAGAAGACTCATTGTTCGTGTAGATAGGGAATCTAGACATCCAAGTAAAGAACGTCATGATCGACCACCCGCTTTACAACGTCTACCCTCTCGACAATCCACCCCTGAACATCAACAACAACAACCCTCATCAGCAAAAACGGATGCATCCGATCACGCCATTCGAGCCATGGAACGTGCTCAACGCAACACAAAATCGTTACCATCATCGCCTATACATGCTACTCCACCTATATCAAAACATGAATCATTGACAAAGTCATCATCGGCAGCTGTGGATGACAAAAAGTCGTTACAAGAATCAGCTCCCATTGTTCCAGAGTCAGCACCCCATTCCACAGTAACAGGATCACCATTGGCTGATGAAGCAGTAGTAGCAACAACAACAGCGACAAAGAATCATGATACGGATGCTTCTGGTGCTATATCTCAACAATCCGTGACGAATGAGCCAACGACATCCAAACAAGTGACTGAAAAGGAATTGACACAGCAGGAAATTGTGGAGAGGATTGGCCAGATTGAGAATGATATCAGCATGTATGAGGAATTATTGGAAGAAGTGACCAAACGTGAGGAAGCTGCTGCTGGAGAGGATCCTATCAGAGCCGAGGAGGAGGAAGAGGAGACAACAACAACCACTTTACGTGAGAATGAGGATCAAAAAGAACAAGATGAACGTGAAGCTGCCAAGCAACAAGCACTCCAAGTGATCAGTGAGGATCATATGGATGTTCCTGATATTGAAAAGTTATCCTTGACAACATCACCCATCATGCGCAAAAAGCCTCAGCTCTTGATCAACCAAGTACGATCGAATGATGAGACCGATGATTTATTATCAGAAAAATTGCTACAACAAAATCGACAGCTTGCACGACAAAACTCACTCATGATCGGTGGATGGCAGGGAAAAAAGGATGATCCTGAGACTTGGTCGAATGAGATTCAATGGTCCAAACCCTTGTACGGACGCATTGAGGATTATCCATGTTACAAGGACAACATTCAACATTTCAACACCATCAAATGTTCAGTGGCTGCCAATCTTGCGGGTCGTAAAGCGGCTCTTGCCAAAAAGGAGCAAAGGTTAAGACGTGAATACAAGCGGTTATATCAAGGTTGGAAGAAACGCAATTTGACTTTGGATCGAATACGTGAGCAACAAGGCAATACGAGACGACGTGGTCATGAAGAATCCGATGAATGTGTGGATGGTGTCAACTTTTCCAGCAACAAGGATGTATTACGCTTTGGAACGGATAACAGCAACAGCAACAACAGTAGCACCACCAAGAACACAAAGAGTAATGGACCATGGACATCGGATGCTGTAAGATCCGAAGCCGAATTGCTTGAGATTATTCAATCGCTTGAATCAGCTGACATGCGTAATCCCGAACTACGTGCTGCCAAAACCACTGCCACTATTCCTCCCATGATATTGGATATCAAAGAACGCATGAGAACGTTTGATGATCGCAGCGGACTTGTGACGGATCCATTGACTTTTTATCACACGGGTGCGGATACCGAGGACCATTGGACCCAGCAAGAAATGGCTGCCTTTATGGAGAGTTACATGCAATATCCCAAGCAATTTGAAAAGATAGCAGCTGCTGTGAAAAGTAAAACGGCACCTCAATGTGTCCTCTTTTACTATCGCAAAAAGCAAAAGATCGATTTCAAAGCACTGGTGAGCAAAGGTCGACGTGGTCGAGCTGGCAAACGACGTGATCGATTGGCCGAAGCCATTCGACGTGCCACAGGTGAAGGACCTGCCTTTTCTACTCGTAAAGCCAAGAGCAAAGGATCTGCCTTGATGACGGATATTGGTGAAGCTCAAGTGTCACGCAAAGCCAAACAAAAGGAGTCTGAACGCAAGAGCAGAGAGTTACGTGAATTGGAAGAAGCCAATGCTTATTGGGATAGTGTGAATGAACGAAGACGTAACAAACGATCGAGTGGATCATCATCACAACAATCTTCCAACGTGGATGAGGGGGGTCAACAACAACAACAACGACGATTTCCACGACGCAAAGGACGTTCACCACAAGCACCTGCTAATTATACCATGGGAGGAGGAGAAGATGGCGATGTTTATGGCGAAATGGATGATGGTGGTGATGCATCTGATAAAGGAACAACGACGACAACAGCACCCACTGCCAAATGGACCGAAAAGGATAAGGAGACAGCCATTGATGCATTCAAACGTCATGGCCGCAATTTCGTGCGTGTATCATCCTTGGTGGGCACCAAGACTGAAGATCAATGCCGCAACTTTTATCACAATTTTAAACGAAAGTATGGACCCAATGCTTTCAATGAAGAATCGGCTACAACAACAACACCCTCTCAATCATCAACCACCACCACCACCAATACGGATAGAATGGGTCTCAAAGCGGATGAAGAAGATGCTGCAGCTGCATTAATGGGAATGTGTCAAATGGATTCAACAAAGTCATCAACGCCACCACCACCACCACCTCGACATGCACGTGCAGTTTCTATTCAATTGGATGAAAGCCGTGGTAGTGATAATGCAACAACAACAACACCTCCTCCTCCAACGACGGGCATGGTTACTGGTAATCGTCGAAGGAGGGCACGTACTTCATCTGGCAAAGTCATTGATAAAGAAACGATGGATGAATGGATGGATGCAGAATTTTCGGGTCGTAGCAATCACCTAGGATCATCCAAAAGACCGGGTCGTGGTGGAGCAGTAGCAACAGCAGCAGCAACAGCAGAAACCTCAAGACGCCCTGCCTATTCTTCTTATTGGTCGGTTGCAGAAAGAACGGACTTTTTGCGATATCTCGAGAAATACGGCTGTGATTGGGAAAAAGTGGCGAACGCTTTGACATCCAAGACACCTACTCAAGTACGCAATTTCTTCATGAACAATAATGAAAAGATGCAGTTGGATAGTATTGTGAAACGATATGAGGAGAACATGATGCACTTACGGCAACAGCAAGACCATGTGCGATACAACAACAACACCAACAAAGCATCACACTATCAACATCATCATCAACCACAACCACAACCTCCTCCTCCTCCCATACACAATTTGCCATTTCCAAGTGCCATTGTCACAGAGCAACCAAAGCCATATCAACCAATGGGTGGACCCTCACAACAACAACAACCACCTTCATCTCATATGGATCCCCGACTTGGTTACTTTACCCCGTCTCCTCCTATACCACCACCTTCACAACAACAACAACATCCTGTTGCTGCACCACCACAACCACAACCACCACCTATAACGTCTCCACCTTTGGTTCATCCCTACGCAACAGCACCTTATGCAACATCATCACCAACGCCATCTACTGTATACGATCCTCTTCAACATCATCGAACCACACCACATCATTCTCATTATCCACCACAACAACCACCTTCTTCTGCTGTTCCATATCCTACCATGCATGTTGATCGACCAGCACCGTCACCACCCGTAGTACCACCACCTTTACGTCATCATCATCATCCACAACAACAACAACAACATCCTCATCATCACAACCCAATACCACCACCACCACCATCAGCACAATCACATCCTGTACAAAGCGTTTCAGAACCAACCTCTGTGACCAAGGTGGCTGACTTGCTCAACAATGACGAGCCCACCGATACAGCTAGCCAGAGTAAGAATTGGGAATCTTGGTTTTCATAGCCAACCATTGTACATCTACATGTAATGCAATAAACAGCCATCTTGTCATCTACACGTCGCGCGTATGCAGTAACACCTCAACTTTGTCACACAAAGGCAACAGTGGATACATAGTAGACCGACAAGCAACCGATATCATCTTTTTATTCATCGTGTGACAATCATCATGCACCACCACCTATCAGTTCCGACAAGGTAGGCAGATGACACTTCAAAGTGTGAAATGGGTTGGTTGATACGTATGATATGGATACATGTTGATGTAATATGATGCCTTGTAGTGTGTTCTACATTTCTGTGTGTGTCATGTTTGGTATGTGTGATCATGTGGGATGGGGGAGGGAAGAGAAAAAGCTCAGCTTCGGGCGCTTGGACATTGTAAAGCAAACAGCTTGTGCAACTGACCCGCTTTTGAAATAGCCAAATCCGTCGTCGTATACATTGGTGCGTGTGTGTGTGTGGTGCACATCATTCCTCCTTCTTTCTTACATGGCCCTTGTCGTCTTTTGGTTGTTCTTTTCCTGCTATTGATCCCTCTTTTTGATATGCGGAAAAAATGGCCAATCATGCTTATATCCCTTCACGTATCCTCGGACAAGACGATCTCTCCACTTTGACCTCTTTCAATCTATACGATGCGGCACGAGATGAAGGCGATCAGGACAATGTGTTTTCGAGAATCTTGCACAAGGTTCGCGGCGCTGTCACCAGCAATGAGTCTTATCAACCAAGTCATAGTAGTTCATTTGTATCATTATCTTCAAAGGTAAGCAATTCTCCCCCCCCCAGTACCAAAGGATGACGAACTTTGTTGACAAGCATATATATAGAGCTCTTCGAGTGGTGGTGGTGTTGGTGTCATGGACGATCCAGGAACAACAACAACAACAACAACAACGATGGCAGCAGGATGTCATGGTCGACTTGAACAACAACTTTATCAAAGGAGACCCTCAACCACCCATAATGACATGATGGATGACACCAACGTGTTCCCTGCCGAGAGTATTTCTGCACGTGGGTCATTGGATGACACGGCCATGCGATGCGATGAAGATGGTGGACCTATTACAAAGATGAATTCGAATGACAGTGATACACAATCGGTGATGACCAACTTTTCAGTCTCCAATTATCATTCATTGAATCGCGTCATTGCTCAACTACGAGGCGAGACTATCAAATCAGTCAACACCGAATACTGGATGCCCGATGAACAATGCAAGGAATGCTTTGATTGTAATGCAAGGTTCAAGTTTTATCGTAGAAAACATCATTGCAGGATTTGTGGTATGTATACAAGATGTGAATGAATATCAATGGATGAAGAAACTAAGAAGGGCATCATGTTAATAGGTCAAATCTTTTGTGGGAAATGTGCATCGGATATCATTCAAGGAGAAAGAATTGGACAAAGTGGACCTGTGCGAGTATGCAAGTTTTGTTTCTCAAAGCTACAAGCTCAGGAACGGCAAAATCAACAAGATGCTACGTCTGTTTATCATCATTTGGATCATGAAGCACATTCGGATATTGATCCCGATTCCATCGTCGGCTTATCACCCGTGCTACCAGGCCATCGACCCCCTATCACTACACCCAAGATGCAGATTCCAACCACCAGCATCAAATCTCATAAAGTAGGCGACTATGGTGGTGAAAACTCAACAACATTGGCTCTTGAGATACCAACAACCCACAGCTTATTACCTTATGCGCTTGTCAACAATTCGGCAGGTCACTTGCCTCCACCACCACCACCACCTACTCCTCCACCGCCTCCTCCACCGCCACCACCACCTCCTCCACCTCCACCTTCATCATCATCATCCACAACGGCTGCTGCTCCCACATCGACTACTACTACTACCAATGCTGTTGTTAATCAATCATCCACATCTGAGACGGATCTCAGTCTCAAGAAGCTACTACTTGCTACGATTCGACCCCGATCTCGTACCAACACCATGACGTCCACCTCAGGTGATGCATATGCATCTGCACCCGGATCACCTATTCCATTCCGACGCAGCTCATCATACAATCCACATTCCAATAATGGTGATGCGGGTGGTGGAACCTTGTTACCATCCAATGAATACATCTTTTCAGGCTATGATAGCGAAGATGAGGATGCTCGCAAATGGGATAAGAGTCCACAGAATCTATTGAATTTCTTGGGTGGTGGTGGTGGTAGTGGCAATCCATCAGGTCTTTTCGATGACAACAACAACAATGAGGATGACATTGCAACAACACCAATGGAATCATCATCCCCTGTGCCTTTATCCTCAGCCAGTAAAATGAGAAGAAAACGTGCAGAAGAATTATGGTCATTTGAACATCGATCCAACAGCATGCGAAGACGACGTAGTTTGACAGGAGCACCACCTACTTCAAATCGATCTGTACGACAACGCACCCATAGTCTTATGCGTAATGCTCCTATCACCACTGCCAACTTTACAGAGGAAGCTGCTACTACTACTACTTCAACATCCACCAACAAAGATGTTGTGGAGAGTCATCATCAACAACAACAACAACAGCCCACCATCATAGAAGATCCAGCACCTACGACGAGTACTAGCAATCCCAACCGATCCTCTTCCTCCTCCATGAATAGGCTGGATGACCATCATCATCATCATCATCATCACCACCTTCAACTTTTACCACCATCAGCACCACGCCGCCATCGACGTGTCAATTCGGCTCCTGTGAATATTGAATTGAATGCAGCTTCGCTTGATCATATGCGTAAGATGCTACGTCAATTGCTTCAAGAGGCTTTGGATCGTACTGGGAATCCGTCGTTGGATCATCATCGATGGGAAGATGTTCTTATGAATCTACTCCTCAAAGTATCCGACAATGTGCAACCCGATATACGTGGAGGAGATGAGATTGATATTCGGCATTATGTCAAGATCAAAAAGATTGCGGGTGGGCGTCCTCAAGATAGCTATTATGTGAAGGGGGTGGTTTGTTCCAAGAATGTGGCACACAAACGTATGGTCAAGACGATCCACAACCCACAAATCCTGATCTTGCTCTTTCCTTTGGAATGGTCACGTGATTATTGGGGTGATCATCAATTGCAATCCATTGACCGCGTATTAGCCCAAGAAAAGGACTTTTTGGAGAAATTGGTGAATCGCATTGTGGCCTTAAAGCCATCGGTGGTGCTTGTCAATTCCAACGTATCGAGGATTGCATTGGATCATCTCGTCAAAGCAGACATCGTGGTGGCCTACAATGTCAAATTGAGTATCCTGGATGCAGTGGCACGTTGTACAGGCGCAAGTATTATTTCGTCCTTTTTGCAGCTCAATACGGATGGCTTGACATTGGGCCATTGTGGATTGTTCGAGACAAAGACCTTGGTCCATGATCTTATTCCCAATCGACGCAAAACGTTCTTGATTTTCAGACACTGTCCACCCGAGCTAGGCGCCACCATCATTTTACGAGGAGGGGATGTCGACACATTGCGTGTCATTAAGCGTATTTTGGATTTCATGGTGTTTGTTGTACACAACTTGAGACTCGAATCATTCCTATTAAGAGACCTCACCAAAATCAGACACGCTATTCCAGCACCACAACCACAACCATTACCTTCAGCCTTGTCAGAGACAAAAGGGGAAACGAGGACTGGAGAGGAAGGCGACAAGGAGGATATGGGACAACAACACATTGTACCCAAAGAACAACCTAGCAGCACATCGTTTTGCACTCAAGATAATATCAGTGAGATCACAGCTGTTGATCCAGCAGCAGGAGGAGGGGCAACAACATCATCCATGGAGCCATTCAAGTGCTTGGAGCCGGTGCATGAATTGATTCGACAATACGAACAAGTGACGTTATCAGCCTCGCCATTGGTTGTATTGCCACCGCCTCATTTATTGCTTCGACTCAAGGAAACGCAATCCAAGTTGGCATCACGGATTGCTGAACAAGCACCTGAAGGAGGAGGTGAATCCATTCCTACCAAGTTATCAGCCATGTCGAATTATTTCAGAAGCTTTGATCAGGTGATGCTTGGTGATCCTGAATATGATCAATTGATTGAAGAGCACCATCATCGATCCAGAGCCATGGAAGCGTATATTGGGAGTGACGGCAATGATACATTATCACCCTCGTTTTATCAACATTTGGTTGTGCTTTACATGTCCGTATGCTCTGTGACAGGTGTGCCATGTCAAGGTCCTGAGATGCGAATGTTTGAATATTATCGACCTGAATCAGATCTCACGCTCGGGCAATACATTGAGGATATTGCCATGGATGCACATACAGCATGCGTATCGACCATGTGTGAACGAACAATGATTGAGCACTATCGATCCTATGGGCACGGCACATCCAAGATCAATGTTGCATTGGAACCGATTCAGGGACCACCGCCCATTATGACCACCAACAACATTCTCATGTGGAGCTATTGCAAGAGTTGTGATGCCAACAGCTTGCTTGTCCCCATGTCCGAAAACAGCTGGAAGTATTCCTTTGGTAAATTCTTGGAGCTCATGTTCTATCAGGCGGAAGATCGATCTGCTGGCAATCAATGGTGTCCTCATGGCATGTTTCGGGATCACGTGCATTACTTTGGATACAAGGGGATGGCTGTGAGATTCCAATATGAGGTGATTGATCCACACGAGGTCCATGTACCGCCCATGCATTTGTACTTGAACCCCAGCACACAAGCCAATCTCAAGGATGCGGCACTCGATGGCACACGCATCAAGATTACACGTTTCTTTGATTCGATTGTGGAACGCAACAAGGGCTTTTTATTGGATATTGTGCAACCCGATCGCGTGGATGAATGCAAAGAACACCTTGCTGACATGTCACAACGTGCCATGGGTGAAAAGAAACAGCTCTTACAGTATTTGCAATCGGTCTATGCAACAACGCCCGCATCGGATACGCTGAGTCTCAACATTGTGCGTATCAAGCTGCAAATGAGTGTTATGCAATGGGATGCCGAATATGCCGACTTTGTACGTCAATACGTGCGTCCAGAACGTGAGCTACGTCGTCATCTTAGAAAAATGTTCCCCACAGAAACAGGGTTCACCAGCATGATTGCTAGTCTCGACTTGCGCACCAAACGTACCATTGAATCGCCTGATTTGCCATTACTTGATGTGGGTTTGGATGGATGTTATGATTATCTCAATCAAAGCCCGCCACCTGCTGCTACATCACAACATACAAAGCTATTAGATTTGCCCATGCTGGGTGAGTCACCAACAACAGCATCACCATGGCTTGAAGAAGAAGCTCGTCTTGATCATCTTATGGAGAACATGAGGCGTCGTGAGAATGGGTCTACAGCAGCAGCAGCAGCAGCAGCAGCAACATCATCACCATCGCACTCATCCGTTACCAAGGCAACGACAACAACAACAACACAACCAATTACCACCTCCACAGCCGATGATGTTGTTTCAAGTGCTGAAGCATCTGATATACTTGATCCAAGCGTGGCACGTCGTTTATCACTCGAATTGATGAAGGATACTACAACAACAAGGAAAGCAATGACTACACAACATGAAATGGATGACCCTGTTTCAGCTACTCCATCTCGACCTCACGTGAAACGACGCACTCACAGCCACCAAAAACAACAACAATCGAATGCATGCATTGAACAACAACAACAACAACAAACAGAGGAGGAAGAAGAAGATGAGACTTTGCGAAGAGCACAACGACGTAAAGCCAATGAGCACAAAAGACTCTCGTTTCCAGCAGCATTGAGTTCGCATGCAGCCATGTTACCGATACTTTCGCATAATGCATACAAGCGTTTTGCAGACTTTTTACCATCCGATCAACAAAAACAACAACAACCGGGTTTAATGACTGAATTGGCATCTTCGAGGAGTTCGCCTCCACTTGGCTCCAAACAGCAACGCAAAAAGAATGAGAAACGGCAACAACAAGAGGATGAGAGCCAACAACCTACGACCAAACGTGAATTAGCATTGAGTGGATATCGATATGGATACAAAGGCTCAACAGAACGTGGTACAGCAGCAACACGACGATTACCCCATGCAGCAAGACCCTTTTCTCGGCAACGTCCTCTTAGTATGGAAATTACACCTGCATCCTCATCATCCTCGTCTCAGCTGGAGAATCGACGTATAGCAGCAGATCGCAATGTAAAATTCATCACCACCAACAATACGTCGGCGGCAACTACCAACACCACCACCACCACGCGTCGTGAAGGTGTCAAGGCATCACGTAGTGTACGTCAACGACTCCCTAGTCGATCATCCATTGAAGTTTATACGACCATCCGTGAACTTGTGCGTGAAGAATCAGATGATGAATTCCAACCCAGTGATTCGGATAATGGTGATGATGATGATGAACAACATGAACAAGAGGATGTGGAGGAACAAGCAAGTCCTATCTTTTCATTATTGTATACGGATGAATACGATGAATCCTTGGGTCGCGAGATACTTCCTCATCATTTGCAACGACTGAATCATCGCAAACCTGGTATTGCCAAGGTTCATCAAGACACGGAAGAGGAAAAAGTCCCTCATTTGACATTTGACGAAGATGATGATGATGGCACCATTACAGAGGAAAAGAAAAAGAAAGCTTGCAACATCCCACCATCACCTTCATCATCGCCTCATCATCCTCATCAACATAATACGATATCCGATTTTCGATCTGAAAGACGACCCATCCCTACTACTACTGGTGGTCATCATCACGCTGCAAGTATGTCCACCCTTGAGCCTGGTAATCTGGAATTATCGTCGAGTGGTCCTGAACGCAGCTCCTTTTTGCGTGCCATCACCAACATTCTTGCTGAAAAAGGTCTTGGCAATCTTTTACCTCTGGAATACCCGCTGTGAGTATACATACACGCTTTATTATTGGGAGATTCCAAATGTTGATGTTTTTTTCTTTGTAGATCACCCTTGGAACATCTCTTTCCTGGTTCATTGATTGTTGTGGGTGAGGATGAGCCAAGCACGATTATTGCCTATACATTAAGTTGCGACGACTACCTTACCAAGCTCAAGGAAATCCAAAAAGGAAGCGCACAGGCTGACACTACGTTGGGTGGAGATGAACAAAGCATTCATGGTGGTTGTAGCAGCAGCAGCTTGCATGGCGATTACATGAGTGAAAAGGCATCCATGGATGGCGTATCAACAATAGCAGCTGAACCTGCAACAGGGATGGTGATTGAAAAAACACTTCGAAGTAAATCAGGCACCCATATGAAATATTGTAAGTACCATACAGCAACATAGATCCTGTGGGGGGGATGCTGAATCATGATGATGTAGATTTTACCGATAGCACAACAAAGTTCTTTTGCAAGATTTTCTTTGTGGAGCAATTTGATGCATTGCGAAGAAACTGCGGGTGTGAAGAGAGCTATATTGCTTCGCTTGCCAGTTGCTGCAAATGGGATTCCTCCGGTGGCAAATCAGGCTCCGTGTTTTTAAAGACCAAAGGTACGTACGATACACATCTTCCCACTTCAATGGCTAGTATCTCATGCTTTCTCTTTTAGATGATCGTTTATTGATAAAGCAGATATCACGCTATGAAATGGATGCTTTTCTACGTTTCGCACCTTCGTATTTCCAATACATGTCTGAAGCGTTTTTCCACGAGGTAAAAACAAAAGGCACCTACATGGATATGAATAGCCGTTTATTCATCTATTCCTTTAACAGCTTCCCACTGTCTTGAGCAAAAACTTTGGATTGTATCGCATAGGCTTCAAGAACACAGCAACGGGCAAATCAATGAGAATGGATATCCTCGTCATGGAAAATCTGTTTTATGAGCGCGCTGTGAAAAAGGTACGTAGCAGGTCATGGGGTAATACCGTTATTGACTTGCTTGTTTGTAGATCTTTGATTTAAAAGGTTCCATGCGTAATCGACATGTACAAGCAACCGGTCGTGAAAACGAGGTGCTGTTGGATGAAAATATGGTTGAACGTAAGTGCATTGTATTGTGGCACGTGATGACCGATTCTCATTGTACTTTTGTAGTCATGTTTCAATCTCCACTCTTTTTACGTGCTCATTCCAAAGAACTCTTACGAGGATGCTTGCATAATGACACACTCTTTTTATCCCGGCTTGATGTTATGGATTATTCTCTCCTTGTGGGTGTGGATGAAGAAAAACGGGAGCTTATCGTTGGCATTGTTGGTAAGAAGGAAGCGTGTGCGGTATTATGCATACAACTCACTCTCTTTGTTACAATAGATTTTATACGTACCTTTACATGGGACAAGAAGCTTGAGAGCTGGGTCAAAGAATCGGGTATTCTTGGTGGTGGGGGTAAAGAACCTACCATCATTTCTCCCAAGCAGTATCGCATTCGTTTTCGAGAAGCCATTGAACGCTATTTCCTTACAACCCCTGATTTCTGGTCGGCCAAGTTGGGTCGTCGACATTACCATCATGAAGAATTACCTGTCACTTCTTTCTAGAGATACCCCCCAAACCCTCCTTACCTATAAAAGGTGTGCTTTTTTTTATATACGCAATTTATTGTGTTGGGTTTTATATAAATCATTGGATTACATACAAAGCAAACCAGCTTGCTATGGGATATAATACAAAAGGGGAACGTTTACACGAGTTTCCAGCCATTGTTGTTGGTAGTAGGTTCAATGGTGACTGGGCGTTTTTCATCCAAGCTGATACGGCCAGCTTCCAAAATGGCAGTGACGAGTACAGTGTTGCGAATGGTGGGCATATGACGTTGATCCAATTGTTGAGGGGTGAGGCGTTTGTTGTTGACTGCCCGGCAGGCATCCACAAACTTTTCAATGGATACATAGCCATAACCTGTTTGACCTCCAAAATGACCTTCTTCATCGGGTGCATAATTCATAAAGAAAGGGTTGACACTGGCATAGCCATTATCGTCGTTGGTGAAGGTGTAACCACGATGGGCTTGATCCACATTAATTTCACCTGATGCACCGAGATAATGGAAACGTTGTTGTGAATGGACTTCGCTCTTGTTCGGTGCCACCCATGATGAAGTATACACTGCGACACCTTCATGGCCTGGATTGCATGTCGACTTCCAGTTGACAAGGAGTGAAATGGTATCCTGGTGATGATGTCATGGTATTTTTTAAGTTATTTTCACGTCTCGTGATGGCACATGATTTACAACATAACCTACTACTTACCTCAGTGGCTTCGGTCAAATTGAAAGGTTCACTTGTAGCAACACCCTTGGACCCCGATGCCATCACACGATAAGGCACAGCTCGTCCCTCCAATGCCCAGCAATGGAAATCAATGTGATGCGAGTTGAGATAATAACTAAAACAAGATGACAGGTGTATGAATGAGTCCACGTGGTTCATCATCATCCAGTCATTCTCACACACACACACCTGATATCGGATTCTTTTCCGGCCCAATTACGGAATGTGTCAAGTTGCTGCTTTCTTTGGCTCATGTAGGCATAGTAGTAATTGAATTCGCCTAGGTTTTGTATCTTGGCACGTGCATCGCCATACACAGGATCGAATCGCTTATGGTGCTCCACCATGACAACAACACCACGTTTCTCGGCTTCGGCAATAAGGTGCTGATGGTGATCAAGGATCTTGACGGCTGGTTTGGTCAGCAAGACATGAAGTCCTCGTTCAATGGCATAGAGTGCAATGCTGTAATGGGTTGGATCAGGGGTGAACACTGTAATGGCATCACCAGGCGACATGTACTGGTCAATGGCAGTTTTGTCTATGGCATGGGTGGAGTGAGCGAGTGAGTATAGCAATGTGGGGGAAAAGAAGAGAATAATAATTACATGCATCAGGGTCGATTGTATCATCAGCAGGACACGTGTGTTGAAGACTGGTATCCATATTGTAGACTTGGCCAATGTTCTTATCAAGGTGCTCCCGGATCATGCCAAACTTTTTCCCGTTGGTGCCAACAATGCTCACCTTGTCGACTTTGCCTCGTCGTCGTAAATCAAACATAGTCAACGCAATAACCCCCACCTAAGCACGTACATTAGATATAAATAAATGCCATCGTGATCCATTTGCATTAGATTGTTTACCTTTTTGTCTGACGTGGATGCAGCATTGTGCACAAAGCCGGTGGTGTATTCACCCGTGCCCACCATTAATACATTCAATTTCGTTTCGTTGCTCATGTTGATTTCTACACACACACTCACTCAATGATAATGGCGGGGGTAAATGGTGCCTTTTTATATACGCAGAGATGCGTTGCCACCCGGGGAATTCGGACAAAAAGAGTACAACGATATTCGGCGAATAGTGTACAGCCCCTTGGATTGGCTGATTGATTCAATTAAAGCCGAAGCTACTATTCCGCTGATGATGCCAACAACAAATGCAAGCCGAGAAATCGATCCTACACAGCATTAATATCTGTCACGCTTATCTCTTTCAGGCACTTCATGTATGAATTTCAACTAAATGTGCATACAGGGCATCAACACTGCATGCAACAGCTACAAGGGGGAGGGGAGGCAATGGCATTATTACCGCTGCTATGCTAAAATTAAAGAAAACCAGAGATGTGTGCGGGTGTGGGTGTCTGGTGTATGCATGTTGGAAGCATTGGCAAGTGTATGTACATACATAGTGAAGCAAAGGGTGGCAGTAATGTTATGTTTGCATGCGCGCATGTATCGTGAGTACGGATTGATTACATCACACGACCCACGTTGTTTCTTTTATACTTTTCGCTGCTAATCCCTTGCTGGTGTATTGCAGGGGGCAAATTGCGAAAAAAGGTCTTTTCCCTATTTTCTACACGCGTGACTTTTGAAATGGGTTTCTTTGTATCTCCCTTTTGCAGTAAAAAGAATGCGCCCATAAAGTTGCCCCCCGCATGCAGATGCATAATGGGCCCGTGTGTACCACAAAAGATAACGTCGGCCGAGATAATATTCATATTCCAACCTGCCACACGCTCTATGTTATTGCATCGCCGCCGCCATCATTATCATCATAAACCTCGCTTCTGATACAGAAAAGGGATAACTGTTGTTTGGGGTCGGTGTTGTGTACGTATGATCCTTGTTTTCTCATCAGCGATCTTCATCCTCCTCTATCATCGTCATTTGTGTACACACATTTTTTTTTGTAAAAAAAAAAGGTACTAGATGGGCTTTTCCCCAAAGCGGGGTATTATGTGTGACACATTCAGGACAACACCACTGGGTCATCGGACATGCCATGCCGTCTTGTTTGCAACATGCTGATAACTTTTCTCTTTTTGCTGCTGCACACTGCTGCATGACCTCCTTTTAATAAAAAGTAAAGCTTGTATGTATCATAGTAAGCTTTGACGCATGCATGGCATAGCTCTCTGGCGTGATCGGAACAACATTTTCCATCACGTCCCTATTTTCATAGTAAACAGGGTCATGCAGCAACATGTGGTAGATGATGCCAACACTAAAATCAAACGTAGAAAAGAAAACGAACCTGCTACATCAAAAGTCCGATGTACCTCATGATACATAGCAACGTTGTTCTATCGCCATGGAAACAGAAAAAGAGTCCTATACAAAGGCGGACAGTGTTGCATCATGCTGGGAAAGTGGGGGAATGACATCCTTTGGAAGAGGAAAGGCGGTTGTCGTCGTCGTCGGCTATGGCGCAATTGTGCTACCACCCTAACCTTGTTATTGTGTTTCCCTGGTTATCATTCATTGTGTTGTTGGTGTGTATTATCAACCCATGACGCTATTCCACTCCTTCACCATCATTATAAAAGCAGCCATCAAAATTGTACACCAAGTCTTGTCATTCACCACTTTTTCCCCCTTTCTTTTCTTCTATTACCATCTTCTCACTTATTACTATACTATGGCGCCGAATCCTGCGGGATCAAACGTGGTCGTTGACTACGAAGACATCTCCTACAAGCATGAAATTAAAAAAGGCATCAGGGCTTTTCCAAGGAACGCTGCCAATTACGTTATTGAGCTTTTCCCCATATTCCAATGGATTCATCGATACAATTTGATGGTAAGTGAAATCGAGATACGTGATGATGTCAATGACAGGTCGTGTGTAGCTAATACAACAACGAATGATGTAGTGGCTTGTCCGCGACTTGATTGCTGGCGTTACAGTGGGTATCGTGGTGGTACCGCAAAGTATGGGATACGCCAAGTTAGCTGAATTACCGGCAGAGTATGGATTATAGTAAGTAGCCAAAGGTCAACAATGACGCCTTCTTGTACCCATACGTTTACATTCGCAACCTCCCCCCCTTTTCGTTACCTTCTTTGTTCCACCACTAATCCGGAATGTAGTACCGCATTTGTTGGTCTCTGTGTTTATTGCTTTTTTGGGACATCCAAAGATATTAGCATTGGTCCCACAGGTAAAGAAAAGAGGTGGCTCAAAAAAGTTTGTGTACACTCATCATCATCATATTACACCAGCCGTCATGTCATTACTTTTGGGACAAACGATTATTCGATCCACTTCAGCTGAAGGCAGTACGATGACAGGTCCAGATATTGCAGTAACGTTTTCCTTGTTGGCAGGCGCCACGATTTTATTCATTGGTCTCGTGCGCCTCGGCATTCTTGTTGATTTTATCCCAGGTGTGTAGAGAATACCTTTTTCTGTACAAAAGCGTGATCACAAACCTTAATCTTTTTTCTACTTTTCATCATCCCATCGATGCTTTTGCTAGGCCCCGTGATTGCCGCGTTCATGACTGGGTCAGCCATTACCATCACCTTTAGCCAACTCAAATCCCTTACAGGTACAAACAGCGTGATGTGGCTTGAAAAGGACCACCTTCTATTAACACCACACACACACATTTAGGCATATCTGAAATCGATACCCAAGACCCTGCCTACTTGATTCTTGGCCACTTTTTTCAATACATCCCCCATATGAAATTGGATGCTGCCTTTGGTGCTGCGGGGTTGATTTGGCTCTACAGTATCCAACATGGTTGTCAATGGCTCGCCAAGCGGTATCCACGATACGGCACCGCCATCTACATGTTCAGCATCATGCGTAACGGCATCCTTGTCATTTTCGGCACCTTGATTGCGTTTCTTATCAACCTTGGCAAGGACTCAAGCCCCATCAGTATCCTTGAAAGCGTACCTGCTGGTTTCCAAGCCATGGGCGTTCCCAATGTCAACACAGAGTTGGCTGCTGCTGTTGCTCCCTCACTACCCTCGGGTGTCATTGTTCTGATTTTGGAGCATGTAGCCATTGCCAAATCATTTGGAAGAATGAATGATTATACAATTCGTCCTTCTCAAGAAATTGCAGCTATTGGGTTCACCAATGTTGTGGCAGCCTTCTTTGGGTAAGTGATTTTAAAGTGTGTATGTTAACAAAGGGGGCTCATTTTAAATCCTTGTATAGTGCTTACCCTTCAACGGGTTCATTCTCTCGCACTGCTATTGTATCACGTTCAGGCGTGAAGACTCCCTTGTGTGGTGTATTTGCTGCTGCTGTGGTCTTGTTGGCACTTTATGCATTAACACCAGCCTTCTACTATATCCCCGATTCCATCCTTGCCGCTGTCGTGATTCATGCTGTTGCAAATTTGGTTTCTGGTCCAAAGTACATCAAGCGCCTGGCATCGGTGAGCTTGTGGGAGCTCTTTGTATTTGCCGTTGGTGTGATTGTTATCTTTTTTACGTCCGTCGAATATGGTATCTATGCATCGGTGGCGCTCTCGATTGTGATTTTGCTCTTTCGCATTGCACGTCCACGTTTTTGGGCATTGGGTCGTATCCCTTTGGCGTCCACAGCTACAAGCCCACCCTCTCCATGTGATACCGAAAAGCCGCCTTTACCTTCTGACAATGATGAGAAAAAGCATCAGCAATACCTCTATGTGCCTGAATCCAATCCTTCTTTGGGTCATCTTGTGGAACCATTACCCCCTGGCATCCTCATGTGTCGTGTGGATGAATCGTTCACCTATCCCAATTCAAGCTATATTTCTGAAAAGATCATTGACTACTGCAAAAGCCGTACACGTCGTGATTTTGGTGATGACAAAGGCAAGATGGATCGGCCATGGAATGATGCTGGTAACAAGGATGCCGATGTACCACCTGAAGAACAAGCACCTTTGCTACATGCCTTAGTGATTGACTTTGCCAGTGTCAATCGATTGGATTCAAGTGGATTGCAAGGATTGCTTGATGCACAAAATACCTTGAATCGATACTCGGGTCATCATGTTGAATTCCACTTTGTTGCCATCCTTAGCCCTGCTATCCGACGATCCCTCATTATTGCTGGTTTTGGGACTCAGCCTACAATGCATTATGTCAGTGAACCTACCGAGGTATTACCTGTCGTTCCAAGCAACAACAATATTGCGTCCACGGCGCCACCTTCCATGTATCATGCATCTTCTAGAGGCGGGTATACAGCTGATGATGATGATGATGACGTTGAACGTGCCATGTCATCGGCTTCTTCGGATGGTGGTGGTGATGTTCGTAGTAACACGAAAAAGTATTCTCATCATGGGATCGAAGAACATCAGGTGGAAGATGTTGTTGCCGATGGTAGTGCCAATGTGAGCATGCACAGCGCTCGTTCGATTCCATTGCCAAAGGACAAGTACCCTTTCTTTCACTGGAGCGCTGATGAAGCTGTAAGAGCATCCGTTGCTTCCATGGCAGCTCGCAACGCCGAAGAACGACAACAAAAAGAAGAACAACAACATCAACAACCACAAAATCAACAACAGTGATATATCTATCTCATTATCGTATAGCTATAGATTTGTGTATATAGGGTTTCTTTTTTGCTTTATTGTACAATGACGTCTTTTTCACATTAAAAATTTTTAAGCTTATACCATCGCGTGATGTGATACAGAATCTGCGGAAGAAGCTTATTCTTGAATCGTTGATGATGATCATGATGCAAATCAGTCGACTCATTCCAGGAACATGGTGTACAGCAAAGGTCACGTTAGGTCAACTCATCTTGTTGTCCCCAACGTCAACTTTTCCTATGCAAGGATGGTCATTTTGTGATTGATGCCTTAGGGAGGTGGCCGTTCATGACCTTTTACTGTTTCAAGGCGTTAGCTGCTTATACGAGCCACGGCATCGAAACCCGAATGCTAATTTCTTTAGTTTCACAACCAAAAGTAACACAAAGCCAAGGAGAGCCACATGACCTGTCTCTGAAAACAATGGTGTTACGTGCCACACAATACCAAATTGCAGGATCGTGGATACATAGATTTACTTGCCACACGACTGACAAAAGCCATTGCATCATGCACCGATTTCATTGATTGCTGTTATTGGTGGTTGTTTGAAATAAAGTACATTATGGGAAAGGGGCTGTGCATGAAAAAAGTCGTGACATGAAAAAGCAAAACCACTCCACCACCATCACGGCTCCCTCACGGTATGATGGCAAACCAAAAGATCATTGTCGCTATCAGGTTTCCTTTTATTGCTCAATGTCGATCTTCCTAGTTACACCATTGGACATTCAACAATCTTGATATTTTGTGGATAAAGACGAGAATACAAAAACTTGATGCCGTCTCGTGTGATGTGGGGTAATCGATTGAGCTCAAGTCGCCTACAAATCATTGCACCTCCTCGACCAGCAAGACTTGCCACCACCCTATCCGTCATACCAGGCTCCTCAATCAGTCGTAGTTGATCCAAACGCCGTTTTTCAGATCGCCATTGCTGAAAGATTTGCATCAAGTGTCCTTCTTTAAGTCCACAACGTGTAATGATTAGGCTGTTCAAGGACTGCTCAAGTCGCAACACAGGCGAAGGCGATCTCAGGATTTCGAAAATGGTGGTGCTATCGAGGAAGGAAATGTTGTAGACAAAGCTACCCATCGATGGCCAACGATGCGATTCCAGTAACAATTTTGAAGCAGCCTCCGAGTTTTTCAAACCTTGACCATGTATACAAAGCATACGTTTACCTCCATTGGTGGTGGCGGTTGTGGTGGGGATCGAATCAAAGTTGGATATGAGATGATTGAATCTGGCAGAGAAGACGTGATCATACGCTGTGTCCAGTTTTATCAAACATTCAGAGGTCGTTTTATCGTATATGGATAGCTGCTCGAGTGATGGAATTCTTGACAGCAGCTCCACCACATCCTCTTTCCTAATTTGATCATTTGCCCAAAACTGGAGACATGTCAAGGTGATGCATTGCTTCTCGATGGTTGAAATGTCCACCACGTTGCGACCACCAAGACATCGCATGGATTTTAGTCGAGGGCAGCTTTCGAGTACGTCCGTCAAAGGGATGATGGGTGCACCACCTACGTTCTCCAGCTCCAAATGGGTCAGCCATCTTCCAACTTTATTCAGCGCTGCAGCAAACTCAGGCCAAGTAGACAAATAGCAACCTACAGTAATAAGAAAAACATTAGCGATTGATTCTCTCATGCATGCTATCATAATGCTTTACCTTCAATCGATAACTTTTGAAGTGAATGAAACTTGCCTGGATTGAGCAATGTGTGGGGTGGTTGAAGAGAATTTTTGAAGCGTAAGGAAACAACTTCAGGTGCTGCATCCATCAATCGTTGCTGCTCGTCAAGGGTATCCGATCCGTGTATTTTAAAGTGCTTCTTATCCATGTTGCCTGCCATCAAAGCTTGATGCCATCGTTTTGAAACAGTGCCAAGACTACTCCACTTGCTTCTTCCATCACCACGTAAAAGAGGAGCGATACAATCTCGTACAATAGCCAAGGGTAGTTGACTAATGAAGTCGACTCGTATTTGTTGCTTTTCACGAGCTTGCTGCTTGGCTCGAATCAATTGCTGATGGGATGGATCGCTTTGTGGAACCATGCTGAGGCCTTTTTCGTACACTTTGATGGCTGCTGTTTGATACCCTTGCATGTTTGAAAGGATTTCTCCTGATTGCATATACCCGAGTGCGCAAAAGGGTGCTATTTGGATATGGAGAGAGGCTTCATCCAATGCTTGATCAAAGTTGGCAACTCGAGCAAATGCAGCGGCACGGATTCTGAGAATGGTCAAAAGCATCTCGATATGGTGTTCTCGTAGTGATGTTGTTTTTGTCAATGCATCCTCATGATTCATCGATTGCAACGCGTCGAAAAGAGCTTGTGGTGGTGCTGTTGTTGTTGTTGTATCACCCATGTCAACGTTTTGCAAAGCGATCCGTGTGTCCCTTTTTGGCTGTGTTGCTGATGTGATCATGATGGGCTATTAAGACGAGAGGAAAGAGTGATGAATTCAGCCAAGCAGCACCACCATTATGATTTTATGGGGGCTTGTTTTCTCACCCACATGCAAACAAAACCTAATCACCCTTCCGATATGCATATCTATGTACAGTGTTACGGTGTTGCTACAACTTTTGTACAACCCGACGGCTCATCATCTACCGAGTCAATTGTAAAAAATGTGTCAATCCTTTCAAAAAAGCAACCATTTGATATCACTCTATCAAACAAAACACCTTTTTTATACAAGAGCCTTACTACGTATAACATGGATACTATTATTGACTAGTTGACAACTCCTCGAGGATCTTATCTGCTCCCAATTCGACGAGCTTCTTGGCAACACCTTGGCCGAGAGTTTCAGCAACTTGTTGTTTCTTCTCCAGGGAGCTTTCTGGATCCAAATCCACTTGATCACTGTGTTCAACATATTGCTTTCCATCCAAACTAGCCACCATGCCGTTTAACTTTAGCGTGTTGCCTTCGAGCTTGGATTGGACACCAATAGGGACATGACAACCACCTTCCAATTCACGCATCATGGCTCTCTCACATAGACAAGTAATACGAGTCTCAGTATGATCCAAAGTCTTGAGGATGTCGAGCACACGAGTGTCGTTTTCACGGCATTCCACACCGAGAGCACCTTGTGATACGGCGTGAAGCATAAACTTGTCGAGTGTTTGACTGATACGATGACCCAAGCCCACACGTGTCAGACCGGCTGCTGCGAGCACCAAGGCATCAATCTTGTTAGCAGAATCATCCAACTTTGAAAGACGTGTATGACTATCCCAATCCAATCCAATAAGTAAAAGTTGATCTCCACAAACACACACACATCTCATATCCTTACATGTTGCCACGCTAAAATGAAGAAACAATGATAGAAAAGAAAGGTATGTTGTCAATGGTATGGCATGGATATATAGATGTGTATACGTTGATACTTTACCACGCTGACAATTTCAAGATCGGGTCGTTTACGCTTGATTTGAGCTGTGCGTCGCAAACTGCTGGTACCCACCACTGCGCCTGCAGGCAGGGAATCGATTGTTGTATACGTTTTTGCTGTAACATGGCGTTCAGCCAACACCAAGGCATCGTCAGGGCTTTCGCGTTCAGAGACACCACCAAGCATCATGCCAGGTTCCATGACAGTTGGCAAATCTTTGAGACTGTGGACAACCAAGTCGACTCGACCTTCTTCCAATGCAACTTCCAATTCCTTGGTAAACAGAGACTTTTCACCAATTTTGCTCAAGGCAACGTTGAGAATACGATCGCCGGTAGTGGCCATGGCTTCGATCTTGAACTCATAATCAGGGTATGCTTTGGCGAGCGTATCACGTACAATATAGGCTTGGGCAAGTGCAAGTTGCGAACGACGAGTGCCGATAACAAAGACTTTGTCGTTCTTGGTATCAGTTGCCATAATAGAGAGTGGGGGGAGGGGAAGGAGAGAGGAAAGAGAAGAGGTGAATGTGTGTAAGTATTTGTAACGAGCGAGAACAAAGAGAGATCCCGACAACAACGATGGCAATTCTCGGCCCGAAATGAATATATGTGTCACTTGAAACAGTCGTCCAATTCCACCATAGTTCTTCTCCCATATCAAATAGTAACATAGAATTCAATAAAATGTGCGATTAGACGGTCCTGAATCGAATTGAGATGAGAGATGTGCATGCACCATGGGTTATCTTTGAAGGCGCTCCCGTGAGCAACCCTAAATGGAAGATCGTTGTTGCATAGTAGACACACCTTCAGCACGATTGTATGTAGAGTTTGATGGTTCAATGGATGGAATGACCAGGGTGATCATTATTATAGCATAAACAAAGAGGTGTATCTGGTATCATGATGCTCTTATTAAAAAAAATGGATGACCATCAGCTACTACTCGCTATTGCTAAGCGGAGGAGCACCACGTGTTAAAGAGAAGAACGGGGTCCTCCAGTGTCATTTTTCTATTAGCGTTGACCCTGGTCCCTGAGCGTATTTTGGATCATGACAAATTTCTAAATCCATATTTGGTTGGTCATTGTAATGCACATTGATTATCTAGAGAGGATTTTTATGATATGAATGAATCAGGTGGCTGCTTTGTTGTATACATCGTTTATGCCCCATCTAGCCCTGCAATGCTATCGATATGCCTGTTGATTGGTAATTGATCATACTGCTATATACCTGTGATAGCTTCTAAATTTAAAATGCTGTCATCCCTCTTGGCCCACTCTTGTCACGTGAAGTAAAGTTGTCCTTTTGAAACAAAGTCCTTTTTGTATTTCAGTCATGATGATAGATCCCCAAAATGTACTTTAGCATTCACATCAATGTTTATCGTATAGGTATTCAAAGGAAGCAAAAAATGTGTGTGTGTGTGAGTGTGTGTGCGCAAATATGAACAAGGCAGCTAGTACATAGGAAATTGTGGTGCGTGGTGGTGTGTGCGTGCCATCAAAAAAAGGGTGAATGAATCATTCGGTCTTTGTACTCTTGTTGCCATCATCCTTGGAGGGTGCCGTTTCAGTGCTTGATGATGACCATGCCCATCCTGTAAGATAAGAACCCCATGTCTCCCCTCGCTTGGGTTGCACAGGTGATGCCTTTGTTGAAGAAGCTGCTGACCCACCATTACCACTGGCTGCATTTCTTTTCGCAACGATGAATGAGCTTAATGAATCATAGCTATCTGATCTTTCAAGCTTGGGTTCTTCTTCACTTGATGGGGTTGTAGCATTGTTCCCTTGTTGTTGTTGTTGTGGCTGTGGTGGTGAAGATGATTGCTGCGGCTGAGCTGCTTGTGTATATTGTCCTTCAGTGGCGCCTAATAACAGATTCAATTTGATTGAACCCTCTTATCTTTCATTTGACTTACGTGTAGATGAAGCTGATGCCTGAAGGGTGGTTGCCAACTGCGATCCTCTATTCATGATGGAAGAAAACATGCTTCGTGCGTAAGCATCCCATGTGGAAGCGGCTGATGATGGGGCCTGCTCAGTAGTAGTAGAAGTTGATGCTGTCTCCTCCTCGGCCAATGATCGGCCCTGTGAATTACCATGGAAACATGGATCTGTAAGCAATCATGTTGATGCCCTTCCCTTCAGCTTACCCAAACCTCACCTTGTGAATCAACTCGGATAACCACCGGCCAATGACCCTGACCACCTCCTTGCCATAAACAGACAATGTGCGTTTTGTGTTTTCTTGTATCTCGACCATGGTCTTATCAATTTGCTTTTCATGTTGTGTGAGAAACGGCTCGATAAAATCAGCGTATAGAACGATAGCTCCCTAGTAAATGGGGGTAGGGGGAGGCAAGTGATTAATAACATCATCATCATCATCATCATGTCATTTGACATAATAAATCCCCACCTTGGTTTGAGGCAACGTAATCCATAGCACAAGCAGCAGCTTGATTTCTGTATAAAAAGGGAACCTACAATACGACGATGGATCAATATCAAAATGCCATCATCATCATCATGATAGATCTATTCATGCAAGTGGTGCTTACCAAAACACAAGCAGGTCTGCAAAGTATTCTGCGACAAGGAACACTGTGGACGATACCCAGTAGATCAACAAGGGAAGGAATTGGCGATGGTCGTTGAGTTTGATTGCCTTGAAGCAAGTGTAAGCAGGGTAAATTTGAAGCAATGCTAGTCGAATGACAAAGTAAATGCCAGCTGTGAGCATAGTGTGAGTGTGTTGCGTGCGAAAAAGAAGCGTTCACGATTTTGCATTACAAGGCGAGGCACACTCGAGTTACTGTTGGGCTGCTGGGTTTGATAATCGGATACATGCATGATTGATGCTGGACTCTCTCACACTCACTCTCACACTCACTCACCTCCTTTATTCCGCAGCTTTGCAATACTTAACTACCGATCCACAATGCCACCCAAAGCAACTCGCACTAAAAACACAGGCAACAACACTCGTCAATCTCGAGGTGCACGCTCCACAATGAGCAAGACGAATGCTGGCCACAATACCAATCAACCCAAAATCACTGACTTGGGAGCAGCAACGAGCAAGAAGGGTGCGGTGCGCAAGGCTAGAAGAGAAGGCGGTATTGGATCAAAGATGGACCTTGACAAGAAGCCTACAGAAGCAGCAACAGCACCATCATCATCACCAAGAGTCGTAGGAAGTAAGCCATCCTTTGTAACACAAGAAGAAGCATAAAGAGGTCACTAATGGGTGATGTCTTTTTTGTATGTAGTCCATCAAGAGCATCTAAGCCAAGAGGAGATTTTACTGCGTAAATTTGACCTCGATTACAAGTATGGGCCATGTGTTGGTTTAACGAGAATGGAACGCTGGCGTAAGTGTCAATGACAACAAAGAAGACATGTTGGATGGTGTACTCATTGTTTGTGGAACCCACATTTTCATCTTCAATGACAGTGCGAGCTGAAAAGCTTGGATTGAATCCACCAAAGGAAGTCAAAGAACAACTGGAACGTGGAGCAGCAAAGGATAGCGTGCTCAATGATGCATGGTAAATAGGATACATTGGAGTGTGTTCGTCACTTTTGGTACATCAAGCTAATGTACTTTTATACAACGAATAGCTACTATTATAGCACTTCGGGGGAAGGCCAGGTTGTTGAATCCGAAGCTTGAACCATCTTCATCATCATCCACCCAGCAGTAAATAAAGACCTTCCCACCCCCTTTAATTAGCAACTAGTATACTATTACGTCAACAATGTAACTTTGAATAGCAGTGCTTTTACATATGTATACACAAGTTTATAACTCTCTTTAATGACATCTTGAAGCCTGTTTATCTATTCGAGGGACTCCTAAAGCGGGATTATTTGAGCGGGCGGGATGAACTTCTCCAAGAGGTGTCTCTCTCTCTCTCTCTCTTCGTGACCGCTTAATAATTTGCTCGAGTCTCAGCAGCGACGATCGCGATCTCGTTCTCTCTCGCTCTTGTATACTACTCAATCGACATGCCTGGGGTGACACTCGAAGATCCCTTTCCGATCGCTCGTTTCCACAATGCCATTCCTTCAGCTGGTGTTGGCAAGCACTTTGTGGTCGATTTGCAGCCTGTCGATCAGCCACTTGCCACCGAAGACGATCTTTCAGAAAACCAAGATCAAGTGCTTATTTCTGTTCAAAGTGAAGGTGTCAAGCTCTACACTGTAAGTGCATTCGTCGACGCCATGGGGCTATGGGCAGGGTACTCAATGTTGTTGTTGTTGTAGACGGGTGATCAAAAGTGCCTAAAATCGTTCACCACACCTCCCGGCTTGGTCCTTGCTCAACCTGCAGTTCAACGTACGATTGATGAAACCGACTATACGTTCGCATTGGTAGCATCAGGCACAGATATCCCTGAGAAGGAAAGGAATCGAATCGTGTGGATGTGGAAGAGCACTCAAAAGAGCAATGATACGGATAACCGTGTGAGCAAAACGGTAAGCACATTCACATACAACAACATACATAGATGAAGATATTAATCGTGTGTATGTATATAGTTTGATGACCGTATCCACATGTTGCATGTATCATCCGCACTCACATCTCAAATCATCCTTGTCAACGAAAACGGATCCATCGTTCTTGCCAACAATGACCTTGATCGTATCCTTGCCAAATCATCTCATACCAGGTACAACATAGGGTTACATTAATAGACATAGCACTCATTGTCCTTTTTAGTGCTGGTCCTGTTGTATGGTCTACTGTTTTCGTCACTTCTAATCCTCATGCACGTCCTTGCTGCGTATCCAACTCGCTTGTCCCAGTCAATTCCACCATCATTCTCACCATCAACGCTGATCGCAATAATGCAAATCGCTACACCGTCAATCTATTTTATTGCAACGTGGAAAGAAGAAGTATCGATCCAATGGTTAAGATTGATCTTACGCTCAAGGTATGTTATGATGACGATAATGATGGGTGGAAGATTCGATTTTAATCAGCTGGTCCCCCTATAGGAAAAACCTGTTGCATTCACATTTGATCCTACCGATGGTCGCATTACAGCGTTGGGTAAGCGAATAGTGTAAAGAGCCGTTCGTATTCATGCATTTCTAACCTACCTTTTCCCTTTTAGGTGCTGCTGGTACCTGGATCGTTTGGCGCATGCAATTGAGACACACATCGGTTCACAAGGTTATTGGTGACATTGAAGCACATTTGTCGATGCAATTATCTGGATATCAATTATACAATGACAAGCTGGGAAGCATTGCTTCGCTTGCTACGCTCGATGATAGCTATGTTGCTCTGGTGGCCCCAAGAATCAAAAAAGGTACTCGTAAGAGAATGAGTGAAAAGGAAAAAGAGAAGCGACATGGAAACTAATGCGTGTTTTTTCCTCCTTCTCAGGCACCGATGGACCCGAACATGTTGTCAGCATCTGGGATGTCAAATATGGCACTCTTCAAGCTGAGCGCAGCCTTCAACTCGGGGATAAGACGGCCTATGGCAAGGACAAGTGTGTGTACAGCGTACGTATCTCTCTTATTTCACATTCGAAGGTGGATGGAACGTTATATTGACATGGAATATGATTAGATCTCTGTATTACCCAATCATCATTTGGCCATTAGCGTGTCGTCTGTTGCAACGGGTGCTAACCCAGGCAAGAAAAAGGTCAAAGCCATGGCCGATGCCAAGTCAGTTGTTGTACTTTGCCCATACTACAATGAACCCATCTCACTTATGGCGGCTATGGGCAAGATGAATGCTACCGTCGATTTCCTTGGTAACAATGACACAATTGGTATGACCCAGAGTGGCTATGAAGGAGTTGGTCGACCCATCAAGAACGTAAGTAATCGATGGACAATGCTTTCAAAGGACAAAGCAAACTGAATAAGGTTCATATATATATAGCTTAATATGAGCGTGGATGACATTTACGCAAATTGGGTGCAGGATCTCGATCAATCACAGCAAAAGGAAAAGGATTTGATCAGCAAACTTCTCAATCCAAGCATCACTGTTGAAGAGTTTACGAATGTATTCTTTGGAGGTGCCGCTGGTAACAAACCTGAGATCGCAGAGAAGAATGCAACGGAGATTCGCAAGTACAACTTAATCCTGGCCGAAAAGAGTTGGCAAAAAGTCAAGGTAAGAAGAAGGGCTATCAGCAGAGACATTTTTGATGTTAACGAATATGTAACCATAGGCTGAATTCTCGTATCACTTCATTTCGACCATTTTGCCAAAATGCTTTTCATCCCCATCATTTTGGCCTCTGGAGGTCTTTTTATACCTGCTGCAAACAGGACAAGTGCGAAGCAGTTATTTGAGTGGAGGCATCGTCAATTGTGTTTTGGAACGTGGTGATTGGGTAAGTTGGCATTACATGTTGCTTTTTTTTGTGTGCATCTATTTCTTACACCCATCTTAGGCCTTAATATCGACGATCCTTCATCGCGTACCTGATATCCCAGAGAGTGACTTGATCACTGTGCTCAAGGCATTTATCAAAGCACGCCGTTCAAATACGCTTTCAAGTGAAATTGCCAGCACACTCTTTGCCAAGATCATTGATTCTCCTCATAATGACATTTTCATGCAACAAGCTGTCAAACGATTAGAGGCTGCGGAGCTTGCTGATGTACTCGATCTGATCAATGACGAACTTGAATCGCTGTCAGCCAAGGGCAAGGTGCAAGCCTTTTATAGCGTAAGTGTTCTTTATTATATAGCAGGGATGGGATAACAAAAGTACTAAGAGTGGTATCGTATTAGTTGATTGAATTCGTCAGCGGTGTGCTTGACACGCACTATCCAGTGATCATCATGGAGCCTTCTCTTTATGACAAGATTGCCACACTGCAAGACCTTATTGAACGAGAAGCTGCTATGGCAGAAACAATGGAACGAGTACGTGGTTTGGTGCGACCCTTTGAACGTAAACAGCGCATGTTGGCAATGGAGAAACAGCAAACGGCATCTCATAAAACACCTCGACACAAGGATCACAGTGATCAAGGCATACCGGCTTATAGAGTGGAGATATTCCAATTCTAAAAATAGCAATAGCTCACGTCCATGTAAATGCATCCCAATTGACATTAACGCACTACTCCATCCTATACAAACTACCATTTTTCCATTACACGCACGCACACCACTCAACACTAAGCATCATAAAATCTACAACGCTTTTGCTTTCAACTCAATCTTACATGATGTGATTGTACAAATGAAAAGATACACTTTCTTTATCATGGGTTGTTTTGTTATTGCTATTTACTGGTTGGTGAAGTTGGCCTTTCTCTTTTCGGCGAAAGCAGCCATGCCTTCCTTTTGGTCGGCCTATAAGACATGTATATCAGCTTCTATTCTCCTGTGTGTACGTGTTTCCCCTTTTATCCATTAAAAAACCTACCGTGCCAAAGAGAGATTGGAAGAGAACACGTTCCCATCGGAGACCAGAAGAGAGAGGAACCTCGAAGGCTATGATAAGAGAGATGATGAGTTTGGTATTCCAAGTGGATGGATGGATCATCACGTGAAATTACTTACACTTGTTGATAAGCTCCTTGGCCATTTGGACGGAACCTTGGCTCATGCTGGCAATCTTACCAGCGGTCTTGATAGCTTCATCAACGAGCTGATCAGCAGGGACAACCTTGCTCACCAAGCCTAGATAAGAATGTGAGTGAGTGACAAAGGGGTTACCACACAAGGTGGGGATGGAGGAAGGAGGAGATGACATACCCAAGTTCTCAGCTTCAGTAGCGTTAAGGTTGACGGAACCGGTCAAAACCATCTCCATAGCCTTGGACTTGCCAACAGCCTTAACAAGACGTTGGGTACCACCGGCACCAGGGATGATGCCCAACTTGATTTCGGGTTGACCAAAGACAGCCTTCTCACCAGCATAGATGATCTAAAGACACACACACACACAGAGCATGTTAGCCTTTACGTTCACCCGAGTCAAGGTTACACCATATACACTACTTACGTCGCAGCTCATGGCCAATTCACAACCACCGCCGAGCTAAAGAGAGCGCGTATGCGCATGTCAGCAAAATACTCTTCATATGTCAACCAACCAACCAACCAACCCTCCACCTCCTTCCCCACACCGACGATGATTTCACATGTCAACTTACAGCATAGCCGTTGACAGCAGCAATGATGGGCTTTTTGACATCAGAGATCTTGGCCCAGTGACCCAACATGTCCTTCTTGTAGGTATCAACAAAGTTGTTATCCTTCATTTCCTTGATATCGGCACCAGCTAGTTTTTTTTGGGGGGGCATATGAGTATGGTGTACATACATTGATCCTACTACACACAACGTACCAGCAAAAGCCTTTTCGGAACCGGTCAAGACAATAGCACCCACATTGGCATCAGCATCATACTTGGCCATAGCCTCGTTGACTTCAGTGAACAAATCATTGCACAAGGCGTTCAAGGCCTTGGGGCGGTTAAGAGTGATCAAACCAACGTTGCCACGGGTTTCAGTGAGAATGTGTTGGTATTCTACCCAAAAAAGTGAATAAAAGGGTTGACGCGTGTGTGTGTGTGTGTGTACGTTGACTACTTACGTTGAAGAACACTGGCACTGCTGAAAGCACGAACGGGGGTGTGTGCAGAGAGAGGCTTGACAATGCGAGGGCTAATGACGTTTCTGAACATTTTGAAAAAGAAAGAAAGAGAAAGACGCGTGAACAAGAAATCAAAGGGCAGCAGGTGTGTAAAAAAAGGCCGTTCACAGGCCGTGGGAAAGCGCCTTCAAATTGATTTTTTATGGGGCACACACACACATACATACCCAAAAGTGCTATATACCTCATCGTCATCATCCAACTATCCGACTTTTCCGATCGTCTCAAGCTTACTAAGCACTTGCATTCACTCTATTGCCATAGCAACATCCATAACCCCTGATAGTAGAATGATCGGGATCCCATCATCATCGAGCAGGAACATGAAATAGGCACGTGTTGGATAAAGCAAAAGGTCGATGGGGGTATAACCGGGGTGGTGTCTTGTGTCAAACAAGGTTCAGCCTAGAAGAAGATTAAAGAAGTTCTGATTCTTACACACTCATCACACGTTTCATGGCTTGTATGTATACTCAAGATCCATTATGCGATTAATGCAATGAGCATGCTCTTACTACTGCTCCTATTTATGCATATTGATCCATATCACACGCAACTACATTATCAGGTACAAAACTTTTGTTCCATTGTCAATCATAGTATTATGTTCATTTCAGGTTGCCAATGGTAGTGCATCATGCACAAGCCCAAGTACCCTGTCAAAAGGGCTGCTGATAGAAAAAGTGTGTATGCTGCGTTTCGAAGGGTGCTGGTAGCTCTATATGCAGTATAGTACATTGATCTCCGCATATGGTAATGGTTGGTGACGGGGCACCAAAGATCGCCGTGGAGGGATTTTTTGGCTCAGTGCATGAGAGAGAGAAAGCGAGACATGGTGTGCACATTGCTTCCACCTTTCAAAGTTGTTAATGCTGCTCCTCGTGTCCTTGCATCATTATCTATAATCGGATCCCTCGTCATGTGTCGTCACTCGACCAACGACTACTTTAAAAGGCTCGCTGGCATAATCAGTATGCCATTTTTCACCAGAGCAGGCATACTTACATACCAGCTATCTACCATTTACATTCCAAAAGTAAAGCATCATCATGTTGTAGGGGATGATGATGATGTGATGGCAAAAAATTAAAATTGCATAGATGTCGCGGTGATACTGCAACGTGAGATTTGCAGCAGCAGTGGTGGTGGTGGCACAGAGGGCTAAGCATTTTGTTTCTGTTTGCTGATCCAGCAGGATTGCCATTTTCTGCATATGCTGCGTACGATAACCACGATCACAAGACCCTCATTGAGACTTCTTTTTTGGAGTTTTTGCTGTACGTACCTTACAGCGCCTCATTCTCTTTTTCTTTTCCTCGCACAACACCACCATGCATTCCTCCTCCTCTGACGACGATGAAACAAAAAGCCACTATGAGCACCATGAATACACCACACACAACATTGTATCATTTGCCGCTGTGACAGAGACAATACATAAACCATCCTCGACTTCAGATGTTCAAAGTCGCAGCTATGATCCCTTTGATCTCGATGTTTATGATGATTCGGCGTCCATGCGCTCGGTTAGCACCTATGCATCCACCCAACAAAATCTTAAACGATCCATGAAATCACGGCATCTTGCGGTATGTCATGCATGACAAACCTCCCCCTTCCAGGCATAACGACAAAGGCTCATATAACATGAAAGCAAACGTACTGATGATGACGACTTTGTGTATACACACACACACATATACACGAACACAAAACCATATAGATGATCTCATTGGGTGGTGTCATTGGCCAGGGCGTCTTTGTGTCCTCGGGTGCTAATCTCAGAGAGGCTGGTATGTGTGCTCTTCTTTATCATAAAGGCACCCTATGAAACCATTGTCTAATACTTTTTTCTTTTACAGGCCCAGCTGGCGTGCTGATAGGTAACAATAACAGCCCTAAGCAATATTCATTTTTCACTTACATTCAATGATGATACATACACAGCATATAGTCTCATCGGCTTTATCGTGTTTTGGGTCGCTTATTCTTTGGGCGAAATGTCAGCGTATATTCCGGTATTGTTTATGTTCCCCATTTTTACATCCTTTTCTTGGATCCCACTACCCTGAATTGCAGCAGCAATTGCTTATCACTTGCCACACCCATCTTTGTATATAGGTATCTGGTTCTTTTACCATCTTTTGTCGTCGTTTTGTAGACGAATCTTTTGGAACGGTGGTGGGTTACAATTATTGGTAAGACAAACGCATCCCATTTGGGATTGGTGCTGTGGCACACACTTGATCCAAGGATTGTCCTTCTTTCCACCCCCTATCATCATCTCAGCCCCTCACACATCTATTATGGTGGATTACTACGTAGGGCCATGTGGTCGGTCATTGTGGCAAGCGAACTTGTATCTATACCCATTGTCATCTCTTACTGGTCCGAGGGCAAGATAGAAGGATGGATACGTACGTAAATCTTATGAAACCAAAAGACATCGCTATTAACTTGAACCCTATTACTAGTCTCATTGGCATCACTTGTAATCATATTCATTGTCAATATGCTTGGTGCAAGAAGCTATGGTGAAACCGAGTATTGGTTCAGCTTGGTAAGAATAATGAACCTTGTGTGTGTGTGTGATCGTTATTAACAGCAGCATCAAATCATAGATCAAGATCCTCACAATTTTGATCTTCATTGTTGTTGGATGCCTTGTCTCAGGGGGAGTGATTGGGTAAAATCATGCAACCTTGTAAAGTCAAGTGCATAAAGTTCTCACACATACCCAATAATAGTGACGAGACCTATGGCTTCAAAAACTGGAGGGACCCAGGTGCTTTCACACCTCAAGGAATCGATGGCATCATCAATTCATTAGCCTTTACTGCCTTTAGCATGCAAGGCATGGAAATTGTTGGCATTACGGTACGCTTGTTGTACAACCTAGTGATAAAAAGGATCACTCAATGTTTTGTGTACGATAGGCTGGTGAGGCTGGCAATCCACGAAAGGTAAAAATGGTATAGCTCCATACGTATATCTATGCTAATACGAGCACGCAGGATGTACCACGAGCCATTCGCAATGTGTTCTGGCGCATTGTCATCTTCTATATTGGAACACGTATGCATGAAATAATCCTCTTGCGCTTACAATGAAAAACTCACGGCATGTATCCTATCTACTACTAGTATTCGTCATGGGCATGATTATCCGATACGATGATGGTATGTGTGTGTCCCCATTGTAACGACCCGTGCCAGACAAAAAAGTATTAATATCGTTGCCATGGATACAGCCCGCTTACTTCCTACCGATGATTTGAATACCGGCAACTTTACTATTTCACAATCACCCTTCACAATTGTATTTACAGAGGGTAAATTGGGCGACGTGGCAGATGTCATGAATAGCATTATCCTAATCACGGTACGTCGTGCTGCATGTGGGGTATTTACAAGCAACCCAATTAACCACAAAGTAGGTTCTTTCATGTGCCAACAGTGGTTTGTACGTTGCAAGCCGTATGTTACTTGCGTTATCACGAGAAGGCATTGCATGGAATAAGCTGGGTAAGAGCTTCCTCTTCCTTTAACAAAAAGAGTCATCTTTTAATACTGGCGCCTTCTTCATATCATAGTGTACATTTCGAAGCGTGGTGTGCCTGTGTATGCATTAATTTGCACAGCGTTAGTGAGCTTGGTGGCATGCACGACATCTCAAATTGCGGATGGCAGTGTATTCTTCGTATTGACACGTATGCCGGGGATGGGTGTTATGATCACGTGGTCAGGGATCACCATTGCGCATTTTCGATTCAGGCGTGCTCTCAAAGCCCAACAACGTAGCCTTGACTGCTTACCGATGCGAGCGCCTTTACATCCTTTTGGGGACTTTTTCGATTTATTAGCTTGTGTGGTGATTGCCGTGATTGCAGGGTACATTTATTTCCCTTCACAAAACGCTATTGGCATTGTAGGCACCTATCTACCACTGTTTGCATGCATTGTTGGATTCATCGTGCTAAAGTTCTGGACGGGCTCAAAGTTGATCCCCTTGGATGAGATTGATCTTGATACTGGAAGATCGGATTATGGTATGCCACCACCACCCCCACCGTCGAGCGAAGAAGAAAAAGCCAACAAGGGTCCTTTGTATTACCGAGTATGGAAACGCTTGGTTCACTGGTTTACTTGACGTATTCTTGCATCATCATCGTGTTGTTGCTTTTCTCTCTACTACACACTATTACATACCCCCACAATCCTTTTTGTAAGCCATACACTTCTTCTACTACATTGTATTATCTATTGCTGTAAACATAAACTCTTCTGTACAAATCGATTCCATTGAATGGGGTTGAGAGCGGAGGTTTTTCATTCATGCATGCCATGCAACGAATTGGATTGACGCTCTTTCACTTTTACTCTTGTTTATTGTTCCTTCGCGTAAACTACGGCGTTCTACCCTACTTCCTACAATCGTTGTCTACGGCATTGACAATTGCAGTAGCGACAAGGTCAAGATCCATTGCGCGCCATGATCAACATTGCACCGTACCTCCCAAAGGTAAAGCTGCCCTCTCCATTACCGTTGATTCCAAGACACCGGATTACTGACAAGCTATGGAATGCAATAGTATATTCGATTACTGCACGCCAACGACGACCATATCGATGTTCCATATAGTCAAACGCAATTTGGAGTTGTGCTGATGGTGGATGTGGCAGGTATTGTCGTATGCTGGGGTTTGGTTCTCATGTGATATGTCAATTTTATTCACCCAGCAACACCTCTTGTCACCTGATAGGGTTTAGTACGGTATGTGTATTATGCAGCTACAAAGTCGAGTGATACAAGCTATTAATATCACACCATCACCACCACTAGTTGCTGACGCTTGCCACTGAGAAGAGCGAATCGGGAGCTGAAGCTATCGCTTTGGAAGTGGGCGCTTATATGGGTGAAGTAAGTCATTGAGTGATCTAGTATGTGACAATGTATTGACTTTGTATCTTAGTGCATCGAAATCATCGAGTTTTATGGTGGCGACGTCGTCAAGGTATGTTCTCTTGTCAATAAGAAAGATGAGCAAATTGGGGCTTACAAATGCATCTAGTTTCTAGGCGACGCTGTGCTTGTCAGTTTTCAACCCAACATATCCAAACGACGACCCACATCAGATCCAAGTGCTACCAGCAGCAATGATGACAATGGTTCTGGTCCTAGCAGAATATCACCACGCAAAAAGAACATGTTGGTACGGCGAGCTGTGGAATGTGGATTACAGCTTTTAGCACGATTATCGCATTATCGAGTATACCTTACAGCCGAAGAACGTACCAAGCATCGTAAGGAGAGTGGCGAGATTGAGCGACGATCACCTGATGCACGCACACCCAACAGCGATTCACATATGAGCATCTTTGATCTGAAAAAGAGTATTCAAGAAAACGACCAAGAGAAAGCGATAAGCCCTGGTATTCAATCAGGATCCATGTCATTTTCAAGATACGGCATTACGAGATGGTTTGAGCGATTGAGACACGCAAGGAAAAAAGTTCAACGTCGAAAGAATTCGAGCAACAGTGGCGTATCGACAAGAAACATCACAGCGATTGATTTGGAGTTGCACATTGCGCTTTCATGCGGTGATATCACCAACATTGTTATTGGCAACACCGAAGTGGATGAATCGGATGTCAATTGGGCAGCACCCATGTATCGCTTGAGCCCTGGATTGGCTTCTACGTTAAGCACTTCACCATCAGCAGCAAGTAATTTGAGTAGCAGCACGAGCTCTAGTTCTCCAGCATCTGATCTCAACGTACCCAAAGAATACTATACCCAGTACCATGGTCGACTCGAATATGCGATTGGAGGACCCGTGGTTGATTCATTGGATGCAGCACTTTCGGTTGCCAAGGCAGGTGAAATGAGTATCACAGCGGATGCCTATGCCTATGTCAAGAATCAAGTCATGCAAGATGATTTGACATATGATTTACGGGATGGTTTCTATGTTGTGTGCAATGTCAATACGCGTCGAAGAGCATCCACTTCGAGCTATGGTCCCTCAACCATGCTGACAGTTCACGGTGGAGGTGTGGGTGCTAGTACCAGCAATAATGCAGCAGCCGATCCTCAAAATCCAAATGCAGAGTACCTGAATGAAATGCCAGGATTAATGCGACGAGCCTCACGCATGAACATTGAGCCGTTGATTCCACGTGTACGCAACAAATCATATATGCAAATCAACATGGACAACAACATGGATCTATGTAAATACATCAATCGCAGTGCCGTATACCGATTACGCTCTTATGGCGATGGCAATTTTCCACCCCAATTTCGAGAAGCTACGATTATGTTTGTCAGCTTGGGAAAAATTGATGTTTCCAAACCCGAAGGATTGAACATAGCACAAAAGGCATTGAGCATCGCCATCAAGATCCTTGTCAGATATGAAGGTCTTTTACAACAATTTGCTGTTGACGACAAAGGTACGTTCATCACGTGTCATGATGTGTTGTGTATTTATGCTAATAGGATTTATAGGTGCCACCATTCTTGGTATTTTCGGATTACCACCCTTATCACATGAAATGGAAGCACCCTTTGCAGCACGCGCATCCATGGCATTACGCGATCGATACAAAGCGATGGGCGCTCTACTTCCTGATTTCTCCATTGCACTTTCCACTGGCAAGATTTTCAGCGCTGTCGTACCACAAGGAAATCCATATCGACGTGATCCTGGCATTGCTGGTGATGCTATTGTTCTCGGCGTGCGTATGCTCAAATTCTCATTTTGCAAACAAGCTGTGGTCTGTGATACCGAGACGAGGCAGCAAATTGGTGGCCTATGCGACTTTGATGATCTCGGTGTCAACTTTGTAAAGGGCAAAGTCAAACCAGTACAGATGTACGGCATCAACGAGTTCAGACACGTGACCATGCAAAAGCGATTATCGATGCACCCTGTTGATGTGGATTTCGTTGGCTATGAAACACAAATGAAGGAGTGTACGGCATTTGCTAATCACTGGGCATCCGCACCCAATCATCACGTGCTTATGGTGGTCGGCTCAAGTGGAACAGGGAAAACTTTCTTTTGCCAAAACTTTCAAAATGCCATTGCATCCACTCATGTCACGTGCTGGTAAGCTATATCATGGATCCAATTCTTTTTCAACAAGAGCTAATTGTTGATATGTTATTAGTTGGTCAACGTGTTCGGAAGGTAAAAATTGCAATTTGACACATATTCAAGATGATGATTGATTGCTAATTATGATCGCTACATACATACATAGTTGAAAAGGGCAACAAGTATTATGGTGTTCGAGGTTTGCTGCTCACTATCATGGAGTTGATCGATTCTCTACCACTGCCAACCATCCAGCCACCGCATCGACAACATTCATTCGGCCGTACACTTGACAGCTCAAATACGGCGACAACGCCAAGCTCTGTGGGGAGTGTTTCTCGAGCAAGCCTATCACGCGGGACAAGCAACAGCGAATGGTTTAAGCGATTGACATGGGGTGGTTCATCTTCAAGGATAACGCCAACCCAAAGCCCAAGCAGATACAATGATCAAGAAATGAGCCGAAGTGACGAAGTTATCTTGTTACGCCACTGCCTTGAGAAATGTGGAGAGGATGAACGCTTTTTACCACTTTTCGCTGCCGTGTTTCCTTCCATTTCGGATGAAACGGGTGAAAACAAGTATACCCGGCGATTGGATTCGCACACACGTGACATGTTGTTGAGTGGTATCATTGTTCGCATCATCCAGTACGCAAGCAGCAATCTCAACTTGGTGCTCATTTGTGATGATATTCAATGTAAGTTTTGATAAGGAAAATGGGGGCGTATAGTATGATGATGATGGAATTGATTCAATCGTTTCTATAGGGTCGGATCCAACATCCGCTCAAATGCTACATCTCATCCATGAAGTTTGCCAGCGTGTATTGCTTGTGATAGCCACTCGACCTGCTCGTGAATACAGTACACCAATGACCGATGAGCTGCGTAAAAGTGGAACAGTCCTCAAGATCAACTTGCATGGATTGACGCATGACAATGATATTGCGGCGGTGATCTTACAATCGTTTCCCAAAGACGTGACCCGTGTTAGCCCGACTATAATGAAGATGGTCAAGGTAATAATCCTATATTTTCAATGGATAGTATACATTCGACATACTCACTCACTTGTATAGAAACGCACAGAGGGCAACCCACTCTATATCAAGTAAGCTGTTCTTTCGGGAAGGTAGCATTCTTTCATTTGCATTAACCTGCTGCTATATATAGAAACATGTCCATCATTATAAAAGAATACAAGTTGGCGATTGTATCTGGAGATCAACTCGTGCCTACCAAAGATCGCAAAGATATGGATGACATTCTGGGAGAAGTGAGTTATGGCCGGTTGATCAAGTTGCAATTCGATCGATTACAAGGATGCTTTCAAGAGTTTTTGACGGCAAGTTGAGAGAGAGAGAGAGAGAGAGGAAAAAGGTGGTTTAGTGAGTGAGAGAATAACATCATTTGTATTGTTAGGTGGCAAGTTGCCTGGATCAGTATTTTGATGTATACGAGGTGCAAGCAGGTGTCGGCGCTGACAATGCAATTTTCAAGAACCTGAATCCCAAAAAGATCCACGCTGAGATTAAGAAGCATGATTTATACCGATTCCTTCGGCAAAGTGAACCAGCCGGCAATGTTGGGGAGAATACGCTTGAAGTCTATGCATTTACCCATGTCAGTATTCCAAAGAGCATCTACGACATCACCTCGTTTGAAACGCGCAACACATTACACAAGCGCCTTGCACGTTACTATGAGTCCCAGCTGAATCAGGAAAATTACGTGCAGCTCCTTGGAAAGGTGACACGACATTATCTTGAGACCGACATGTTGGATAAGCAATTGTATTACTTGGAGGCATTAGCGGATCTCGACATGCGCTCAAACTTGATATCCGAAGCGACAAGCAACTTGCAAAACATTGCCAATATCCTAAACGACAATGAGGACATTTCATCACGATACGGCCTTATGCACAAGAGCAACATTTATCGTCGTCTGGGAATATGCCTTACCATGCGCAGCGATCACTGTTCAGCCGAAAAGTATTTGCATATGGCATTGAAATGCCTTGGGATGCCATGGCCTACGAACAGCGGCCAATTCGTGCTAGAGTTTTGGAAAGGACGTCTAAAGCAATTTCATCACCGACACATGGGGCGTCGATGGCACTCAAAAAAGACAATGGTTACCAAGGAACTTGGTCGACGTATCACTGAAATCATGATGCAGCTCTGCAACATTTATTACTTTTGCGGCGAGGGCGAGAAATTCATCTACGCATGTCTGAAAGGATTGAATGTTTGTGAATCGATGAATGACGTGGGCAGCCGATACACCTTTTTCTTATCGCGCATGGCCTTGCTTAGCTGGATTAATGGGCATATCGATGACAGCGTCTACTACATGAGCAGAGCATTTGACTACATGGGACCCAAGCTCGAACCAGGCACACTCAATATTTGCGCTATCCTTTGTTTTGGAGCCGGCCAGTTTGCAAAAGCAGATCAGTATCTTCAAAGGTCCATTGACTTGACACGTACATTGGGTGTGGTTACGGATTGTCAAGAGTTTTATCGCGCCGTACGCGTCTTGGTGACAATGCGACTCTTTCAGGGGTCACTTGACGATTCAAAGTTTGAGCAAGGGCTTATGCAATTGATGGCTGATACTGGACACCGCAACAATGATCATGAGGTCCAAATTCATCTTGCTATATACCAGGTTGCCAATACGTGCATCAAATGGCGTTTGCATAATGCAAGTCCATATATCCTCTGGCTCGAATCCAAAATATCAACCACCTCTGAATATAATCAAATGGCTATACACGGTGTCCTCGTATGCTATTACTCTCGCCATGGTGATCACCTCCGTGCATTGGAACATACACGTGGATTGCTGGATCTTTTACCAGCACTCAGCATGTCGGGTATGTAATGAAACAAGTGAATGGGGAACTTTTTTACTCATATTAACATGGCTTTTTTCATTTTGAAAAGTCAACCTATTCCCTGTCATTGGGCTCATGTTTTTGATTATGGCTATCTACAAGTCAACAGAGAGCGGATCATTTGTATACTGGCACGCAATACAAAAAGACTACAGCAAGTACGTGTCGTTCGTCAATCAGATCATTCGAGCTTTGACCCGGGTCAAATATTGGAGTGTCACACAACCATTCATTTATCTCGCGCGTGCATTGCCATACCTTGTTACAAACCGTACAGTGGAAGCGTATAAGGTATGTATGATGTATAAATGGAAAGGTGCAGCTTGATTAATATGGGCTACTATCTATCATAGATCCTTCACAGTGGCATGGTCGATCTAGCACCTACAATGCACGAGATCCCCTTCCTTCGAGGATACTATTTATCCAAGCTGGGTCGTTTTGCATTTACGATGGATGACCGTATCGCATGGACCAGGGAAGCTGAAAAGCTATTTCGTGAAGTCAACGTACCGGCCCAGTTTTATTGCAATCCTAATCCTACCGCGGCACCTGAAGATGCCTTACAGCTTGAGCATTCAAATTCTATCGATGATAGTGCCTCGATGACCGCTACAAACGACACCTCATCACGCAGAGCAAGCAAGAACGACATTGACAATAAGCCAAACAACAATGATGACGACGACGACGATAACAGCAGCAGTAATAGCGATAGCACGATAAGTGCACAAGAAGAAGAGGAAAATGACTTTGGAGATATCACATCAGCAGCACAACAACAACACACGACGAGGGAACAATAATAAGATGTATACCCCCAACCCCCTCTTTTGCTGGTGTGCCATGTCCACATCCCCACTTTGTACAATAATACATATACTTTGGTATTCCTTGTTGTAAATTTATATGATGATAGTAAAATTGCAATGAAAATATTACACAGTGTGCAATTTTAGATGTACTACTACGTATACATGAGATGATAGGCCAAGATGAAATAGAGGAGATGTTATTAGAAGAGAAGAGCGCTACCCAGCACAGCAGAGGCAGCACCCAAAGAAAGACCCGTCAACAAGCGAGAAGCACTGCTTTCGCCATCTTGATTGCCTTGGCTATCAGAGGAAGAGGAAGAAGGTTGTGGTGTCACTTCCTTGGTGATTGTAAGCTTGGGTGCAGGCTTTTCAGTCTCGGTTTCTTCAGCAGCGACCCAAGCATTGGTGGCATTCTCACTATGAAACAAAAAAGAATGAGCGACATCTTGTTGATGCAACAACAATGAAAACTTGTACATACCATTTTTGAATGGTAGGGAAAAGAAGGGTGACATTATGTTGGCTCACATCGACATTGGGGATATCAATGATGAGGCCAAATCCTTGATATTGGTGTGCATCAAGGTTACCACCCGACCATGTAATGTTGCTCACTTGAGAAGAGTTATCCGTACGATGGGTCAAGGTAAGATTCTACAATGGAGTGGGGGGGTCAATATCACATGCTGCTGAATAGGTTAAGCTCGTCAACAACAAGAACTTACCCAATTCTCTACTTCAAGTGCCTGGATGTTGGTCACTTCCTTGGGAACAGAGACAGCCAATTCAATCGTGTTGGATCCATTGCATCCATGACCAATGCCAATACTGGTATTGAGAACGGATCCAGGCTACAATGATTGTGTTAATTGTTGACCTAATCGTTCATGATGTATCTTCTTACCAAAGCTTCATCCACAGAGAATTCGGCATGAGCAAAAGCACCACCAATGGCAGTAAGCATCAAAGCAATGGAAGAAAGAGCAGCAGCAACCATGGTATAATAAAAGAAAGGTGGATCAGGTGGTGGGATCAACAAACAATGACACGAGTAGTTCTTTGATCCAACAACTAAGACGATCCCCTTTTTATGCTTTTTCTTTAGAAAAGTCACCGGTGAACAAGATGTGGAAAGCAAAATTCCCTCAAGATGGGGTCACTACCCGGTAAACCCGCTCGCGTGGAACCATTGCAAATCTTGTTACTTACATGTTTGATAAGATCTCAATGCATTACTCTCGTTTTCGCTTGTTTTTACCTTCCATCATGCTTGAAAGATAGGATCATCGTATAATGGATCATGGAGATGTAGATCACATCTCTTTTTCTTTCTCTCTCTCGCGCGCGCCATGACATGCATGAAGCAACAATAACATACGTCGATCTCTTCCAGTTGTTCTATAAAAATGGATGGGCGTTGTTTGTTGGTGACAAAAAGGTGACACCGGGGTTATCCAATAAAAATGCTTGATGCAGCAGAAAGCTCGCATCACCACCACGACCACCACCAAACCAACCTTCTTCATAGAAAGATAGGTACTCCATTCTTTTGTTTGGAGATGCTATAGTCTAATTATTTAAATAAACAACTCAAGATACTTATTGCATGTTACAAATACTTTGACACAGGTAGTCATGATAAGCGTCTCATCAAAAATGTGAAAGCAACTCGCATGACTGGTGGTGGTGGTGGTGGTTTGGGCGACGAGGAAAATTTCGGGGAGAGGGGGGGATTCAACTCTATTTGGTTCCACGGTATTTCCAAGGCAACGGATGGGGAATTGAAAAATTTTGTGGCACGTAGCAAAGTATGGCGTGGTGTCTACGATGAGATTTGAAAAGTAAATGGGCACCATGGTTACCATCACTGATGGTTGTAAAAGGTGTGAGCTTTCATTGTTGTATTCATGTCATGTGCTCATGATGATGATGATTCGTCACCATCATCGATCTTGCACGTCCAAGGTGCTGACCATGACTAGGGCGAAATCTATTGGTGCACCCGTACCCAGCTCAATCCAGGGTACTTTCCAAAAGCAGCTACCCAAAAAGTGAACGGCAATCCACCCCTCTCGAAAAACTATAAATAAGGGTGCATCCCAAGGCCCATTTCTTTTCTTCATTGCCTCTGTTCTGTAATCAGATCGGATAAATCTTTCGCCTTTTACTAAAGATTTCCGTGGCTGCGGAACACAAAGGAGGTTAATCACAATTTTTTGACCCCAATTGGGTTTTATCCCAAACCTCTCTCTCTTTATTGAAAATGAAAATGATAAAATGAAGCAATAGTCACTTAAAGTGTTTTACTCGGCCAATCATAATGAAGGTGGGTTTTATTTATCGGCTTAATACATTTGCATCATCCTTGTTAAGTGCGGTAAACGCCATGACTTCATTGGGCTGAGAGAAATCAACATGCATGCTTGGTGGAGAATGTTGTCGTAACTTGACGTTGGCCTCTGCAAATACTTTTTCAGTCATTTCATCCATGCCATACGACCTGGAGTAGACCACTTCCTTGACACCAATTTGTACAATTTTGATGGCACATCCTATAGAGAGATGACATCTGTTAGTGGGTGGTCCATCATCATCACTCACCACTCCTTCTTTTCATATTTACCAAGACAAGGACATCTATGTATGATTCACATTGCATCAGCTTTACATGTCCCATTGTTATCCCATTTCCTTTTTATATCTTACGTGTTGCAATAAAGAACGACACCATGACCAAAATCCACGCGCGATCGTCCCGCTTCCAAGAGGGCGTTTTCTTCTGCATGCATGCACAAACACCGATCGAGACCCATACCACAAGGTGCATTGCCGTTACACCTTCCACAACCGCCTTCATTGCAATTACGTAATCCACGAGGTGTACCATTGTATCCAGTAGCCACAATACGCGAGTCTTTGACAAGGATGCATCCTACACGTCGTTTCATACAATTGGATCGACGCGCTGCGAGATCGGAAAGATGCATAAAGTAGGTATCCCACGAGGGTCGAAGGCGTTCTGGGTTGGTGAGATCGAGTTTTAGCAGCTGTTCACGAAATGCACTTGTGTTGATGCTGGTATTGGTGATGCACACGTCCGCTGTTGCCATAATACTATGCAAGGATGCGCTGTCGTTTTGTGGATAAAACATGACCGCGTCGTCATCTTGAACAAACTTTTCCATCGACATGATCTCCTTGGACCTGCGTGTGAAGTAGTAGTGAGCCATTTGGATCATCCACCCTCATCGTGTGTTTGGGTCCCCTTACGTTCCAAGATAACGTTGAAATCGAAGCGAGATGGGAGCATTCACAGATACTAAAAGGAAAAAGGGACGCTTCCTAAAACGAGTGAGCCATCCACCCCTCCTCACATTCAATTGTCATATCCTCCTTACTGTGCATTCTCTAAACAAGGTGCATCGATATCGCAAGTGACAAAGTTCTCACGCCAGCGTTCAGTGACATGGTTAAGCAAGGTGTCAAATGTCGGAAAACTCAAGGCATTGTCGTGGCAAGGACGTTCCTCATGTGGACTTGAATCGAGCCTTAGCATTTGGAATCCATAGTCTTGGATAAGAGTCTCGGCAATAGTATGCTTGCCACTGCATCGTGGGCCAACAATGCCGATGAACATGGAAGAGAAAAGTAGCAGAGAGAGAATAAGGTAATAACACCAAACCAACCTCTTGAGAAACAAAATTTATTGATTGGACTGTGTCAGGCACGCATCATCGACTACGCCAATGTTGTTTTTATGTTATTACCACCATCGATCAGATAGCGTACACATTCATGATAATAATACATTTCATTGTCTGATATCCCTTAACTGGTTATGGGTGTCGTCGCACCTAAGCCAAGCATGGTCTTTCATGATGACGCAAATACAAAATCCAGCGCTTAGGCCATCATGTAACGAAGACTGTTACATAATTCGTAAGCGATTGAGAAAAGCTATCGAGCTAAAAAGACCTTTGTATGTTTTATCATCAATCCAAGGCATGGAATTGCCGCTTCCATCACGATTTGCACCTACTTTTTTATGGGCCACGTTGATCTAAGAAGCCGCATCCACAGACTTTTTTGCTGATACAATCAATGGCCTTGGAAATATATGATCCGGCTACATGTTGGCGAATCCTGTTGGGTGAACATTGCAGCCAACAGATGGGGTCGGCTTAGATTGACCGTTTACGCCCACACTCCCATGTTGGATCACCATGATGGATGATGGTTTGTTCACACGCTCCTATGCAGGTATAGCAGTAGTGTCATGCTACATACTCTACTACTAGCGTCTATCCCCCAAATATACTCATTGCACAAGTGCCTCGGAATGATGCACAAAAGGTCTTTTCCTTTTACCGCGTAATGTGCTACGAGGGTATCCATTATCCAGTGCATCACTTGGAGGTCCGCATGCCTGGATGTGTGCACCAAGTACAACCGATTCATCTTTATTGTGCAATCCCTTGTCAAACGATCGATCATTCGATCAATTCAGATGCACCTTTTTGTCTTGTATTTCCACCCGCCGTTGGTGACTATCCACTTATACCCCCCTCCCTCCCCTCATTGATCAATCATGATTCATGTGCATATAACCCATCATCAACAACACCTCCCTTTACACCGCGCATATCGATTCAAACCTGGTGAACCGAGGAGTGATCGGCAAAGCACCAAATATCTGAGTTTATCGAGTTTTCATCCACCTTAATGGATATCCAAGGGCCCTCGTAGTCTCCCACCCCCACCCCGCCTCCTCATATCCATTTTTATCTCAAGTTGATTTGATGGCACAAAGCCCACACACAACACATGATCGATTCTTTTTTACCCAACAATTGCTTTTGAATCATAACAAAGCCATCATCATCATCGTCCGGGAGTTGACGGAGGCTCAAAACGAAAAGCACGTTGCATTAGGTTAAACTACTTGCTAATTTCAGATTGTTCGTTGGATGACGGACTTGGCCAAATGAAATTTGATGTGGTCTGTACTACACTAATTGAAAGGGGTTTGTCGTCGGTGTGCCGAGACACATGCATACAATAGCCCGCCATTTTTTAATGTGATCCTTGGGCAATCAACCGCTAATCTCCCTTTTTTCTTTCCCTTTCCGCTCGTTTGTACTTGATATGTCTCAACGCAACCACCACGTTTTTATTATTATTCAATGATCGAGATCGGCACCGCCCACCAGCATAGAAACACAACAACAACAACAACAACAACAACAACACATCTTCAATCTCCTTCACCACCGCCACGTCCTACACGTTCCCCTCCCAACATTCCCACCACCACCACTACTACTATTACTTGTACTGTATTACAAGATAATCAACAATCCAAAGACCATAACAACAACAATAACACTTTACGTACACCACCTGTACGTCTCGTTCCTTCAGCATCTGCTTCCACTCGCATTTCAAAAAAGCTATGGTCAGGCACCATACAACCCCAGCAAATGAATCAAAGGAATTCATCACCACCCCAATCATGCGATACCAATTTAAGTGATACTACTACTACTACTACTACTACTACAACTACAACTACGCCTATTGCTACAACTACAGCTTCTACAACAACAACAAAACGACGACTCCCCAAGTTCTGGCAACAACAGCAACATGCAACAACAACAACAACATCTACTGACTCGGCTAAACCACCTTCATCCAGTTTTAGTTTACGTTCTTTAAAGCAACGTGCGGAGGAAGGGGTTGCAAAACGTTCTCTCTTTTCTCAAAAAGCCAATCCCACTTTTGAACATGCAGCAGCCCCATTGAACAAACAACAACAACAATCGCACGTCGTTTATCGTCGTCACGCCTCTGTGCCAGCTTCTGGATGCTCCATTCTCAATGCACCTTCAACACTCGAGCAATCATTGTCACGCATTCGCCGCCAGTATCGACAACAAGATACAACGATGGCTCTTGAGAATTTGAAGCACGTGATCTCCTTGCTGAATCGCCACGCATATTATCGAAAGAGACTCGCCTCTCGACGCGAACGGTTCGATTCGTTGCGTGAAGATAATGTATGTATGATGGTGATGTTGTCATGATGGTTTATCACTGAAAGGCATTGACATGGTTTTCTCTCCCTTTTAGTTGGAAGATACGATGAAAGAATTAGAATCAGCATGCAAGACGCACCCTGTATCCCACATTGACAGGGTCGATCCACAAAGGTTTACGCTCGAGTTACCGCAATGCATCTTGGATGATCCACCCCCTGATTATACAACGGCATGGCCTGAACATTTGGATACACAAGCATCATGGTTCCGTCACCATTTTGTTGGAAAGCCATACACGACATTAGTTCGCAAGCACCATGCCAACGATGATGTCATGGTGATCTCGGTTGTCTATGACGACGATGCCTCTTCATGTACATGCGACTTGTATCGTGTTATCATCCGATCCAACGATTCACAGGCAAGTTCCCATGACAACCCGTCACCACCCATCCATCATTCATACTAATAGAGACGCTTCCTTCATAGTATGCTGGACATTATCTTGTAGAATCGCCACCCTCTTCAGCGATGCCCATGGCAGCTGCTCAAGTCGTTCATATGGCACAACCTGCTCTGGATTTAGCAGAATTCCAAGAATTGTCAGTGGAAACGACCATCCTCACGGGTATCGAAAAGGAGCTATTGCGCTTGGATGAAATTGATGTAAGTCCATTTTCCCATCAACATGGATGATGTTATTTATTCCTCTCTCTCTCTCCGTTAGGCAACCAAACATCACAAGTTTGGCGTATTGACGGTGCAAGAAGGACAATCCACTGAACAAGCTTGGTTTTCTAACACTGGATTGACACCCAATTTGGAACGTTTATTGGAGACCATTGGCACACGTGTGGAACTCAGGGGTTACCAAGGATATACAGCTGGTCTGGATACGAGAGGTATGTATGGAGCAATTCATTCTTTGTGACACTATGTGTGCACGTGCATGTACTAATGTCACTTTTTTTTATCAGCGGGTGAATCAGGCACCATTTCCTATGCGTCAAGTTGGCGTAATCATGATGTGATGTTCCATGTAGCCGCCTTGATGCCCTTACGTACTAATGATACTCAACAAGTCCATCGCAAACGTCATATTGGCAATGGTAAGTAGGAGTAGGAGTAGGCGACGTATGCAATGTAGTAGTAGTAGTGATTGACCTCATGTCTTAGATATCGTGTGTCTGGTGTTGGTGGAAGGCAATGCCAAATTTGATCCATCCAAAATACGATCTCAATTTCTACATATTTTCATTGTGCTACAACCCATTCCTGGCACAGATCAATGGAGGTATGTATGTGTGTCTGTTATTACTACAATGAGCAATAGCCAATTCATTATGCTTTAAAAAGTGTTCAAGTGATCCGCAACACCAATGTGCAAACATTTGGCCCTACTATTCCTGATATCCTTGGTTCGGATCAACTACGTGATTTCTTATTGTTAAAGAGTAAGCAAATACAATTATATATAAGAGAGATCCAATGAATCACTCATATCATGTTTTTAGTGATCAATGGTAAATGTGCAGCTGTCAAATCAGAAAAGTTTGCCAGACCTAGTAGCAAAGCACGTGCCGGCATTCTATGCAACATTGCCCAAATGGTGCCATCACCCTCATCAGTCAACAACAACAATAGTCCCTCTCCTTCACCACCGTCAGCTGATTTGACGCCAACGCCTTCAAGATCCACCTTGCTGAAAAGAGGATTTACACGACGCAGGCGTCGTACAAGTGGCAATGGTGGTACCACCTCTACTCAACCAGCTCTTATTCCAGAAGAAGATGAAGATGAACAACATGGTATGTCACCACCACCACCATCATGGATGGTTTTTCGTGCTGACATTAATATATATATATAGGCGCATCATCAACAAGATCTCGTGCCCACAATTTAGTGTCCAACATGATCCACCGGGGTGGTAGTAGTGGTAGCAACAGCAACAACATCTCACGATCCAAGACATATAGTCGACGTCCCAATGCCCAGACTAGCTTGAAGAGAAACAATACTGCCAAAACCAGTTGAAAGATTAAAAACAAAAAGGAGGAAGAGTCTAAAGCGTTGTTTAATGTATAAGGCATTATGTCTGTTGTTTTTATCTTTGTACACATGGAGGAGAAACAAGATGGGTTTTCTAAAACAAAACAACACACTATAGTAACAAGAAGATGAAAAGAGAGGGCGAATAGGATGGTATATCATGGTAATATAGATGTGGCGTAAACGGCTTTAAAATGGTGTGGGTGGTGGTGGTACGCGACGACTAGCGTATGTTCCCATGGGAGGTTTCCTTGGTAAAGGAGGAAGTGCACTAGGTACAGGTGGAGGTAAAGATGTCGGTGGAGGAAGAGCTGGTGGTGGCAAGTCTATAGGATGATTACTATTATTGTGATGGTGTTGGTGGTGGCGCATTGAAACAGGATGTCTTGGTACAGGATGGGATGGCGGAGGAGGAGGAGGTGGTGGACCGTTCGGGGGTGGAGGTGGAGGTAGTGGTACTGATCGATGTATATAATCGGTGGAGGGTGGAGGAGGTGGTGGAGGAGGTGGTGGAGGAGGAGGTGATCGTTGTTGTTGTTGTTGTTGATCCAAGGATACTAAGGATGAAGATGCGGTACCCATAAGAGGTCGTTCACTGTTTTCTGGAGATGTTGACACTGGATAACTCTCATCTGAAGAAGAACGACGTCGATCATACGGCATCATATTCTCCATTTGATATGCCTGTTGTTGTTGCTGAACACGATAATCTTGTCGACGTTGTTTCTGTTGTTGTTGGTGCTGTTGGTGCTGTTGTTCTTGATAATCCAAGGGTGGTAATAATCCTGATGGAGGTCGCCAATCCGTATTGTGTTCTTTACCAACACCTGCTCTTGCCATCTTTGCCAATTCTTCCATTTTGACCAAATCATTCGTTGAAAGTGGTGTTGCTGGTTTTTGGCTGACATAATCAAGTACACTTGCATGATAGGTTCCTGCAGCTTTGGTGTGTGATTGAATTTGTTGTTGATGTACGGATTCACCTCCACCAATGGCAATCCCCACAGCTGCTGCTGCTGTTCCTGTTCCTGTTGCTGCACCTACACCTGCACCTGCCGTTGTATTGGTACCTGTGCTACCATTGGAATAGCGACCAGGCTTCTCTCCTGGATGCGTCTTGGTCATCTTTTGTGCCCATCGTCGCTGTTCCAACTCCCTTCGTCGCATGGCATTTTCCTCAGGCTTCGTGTAATCGAATATCAAAAACTTGTCTTCCATCATTTGCCGTTCTGGTGACTGATCAACACCTTCATTATGCACAGACTGGCTACGTTGCGATGTATGGGCGTGGGATGCGGCACTCTTTTTGGGATTACGCTTGCGTACGATCAAAGGATTATCTTCCAATAGAATCTCTTCCAATTCATGGGTTGGATCAAAGTTGGCACGTTTGCTCTATAAAATAAAAAGATGGATCAGTGATCAATCAATGGGGGGCAAGCATGATCCCCCACACCCCATCCAAACTTACATCGGGTATAAATGGTGGTGTACATTGCTTATTGGCAAGAAGATCCCATTGGATGTTTCTAAACCAAGCATGATTCATCAAATCTCGAAAACCACGTTCCTTGACCCCAAGTCGACGATTGACATCGCGTGTAAGTAACCCCTTTACAAAGTCAATGGCTTCAGGCGAGACACGCGCATTCTCAGGGAAAATCACTGGTTCATGCATGATAGCGTGTTGTAATGCATCATTTGTTTTTCCACGAAATGGTCGCTATAGAAACGAGAATCCATCAGCACGTGTAAAGGGTTACAAACTCGTGGCCTCGCCTCCATCATCATCATCCTTGACTTCTATCCCTTTCTCTCCAATTGCCTTTTTTAACCATCGCTCCGTACCTTGCCAAACATCAACTCGAAACACACCACGCCAAGGGACCACCAATCCACTGATGCATGATATCCTCGCTTTGCCAACACTTCAGGTGCCATGTATGCCATTGATCCCGCCACGGATGTTAAAGGTTTGGACTCTGAGAACTGAACAGCAATATTGAAATCCGTCAAGTGTGCATGGCCAAGTTCATTCAATAAGATGTTGTCTGGTTTGATATCTCTGTAAAGGAAGATGCATGAGGGATATGGAAAAAAGGATAAAAGAAAATTCCAGTTACCTGTGCACCACTTTATGGCTATGTAAATGGCGTAAACCCAATGCAACTTCAGCAGCATAAAACTGAACATAGGCTTCTGGCATCACGCCCAATCGATCAAGATGGAATCGCAAATCACCGCCAAGCATCAGATCCAACACCATAAACAAGTTGTCATCATCTTGGAATGCATAACGAAGGTTGACAATCAAATCATGTGACACTTGTTCAAGGATACGTCGTTCACAAATGATATTCTCGACAGCTCGCATCTGGATACACTTGGTCTTGTTGATATACTTGAGTGCATATAGCTTTTTGGTACGTTTGTGCTGGACAACTCGAACTTTGCCAAAGGCGCCCTTGCCCACGGATCGCAATAGCGTGAAATGTGACAGATCGACTGAATAAGGAGGTCCATTAGCACCATGCCCATGCCACTACCAACCACACTTTACGATGCGCCCCTTCCCATACGGCCCCTTGCCCTGGATTGTTTGCATACCTTCACCATCAAGATCGAGTGAACTTTGACTACAGCAAACAGCACCCATCAAGTAACCGGGTTGTATTCAGTAGTGGTAGTAATGCAATGGAGTATAGGAAATGAGAATAAGGGTGCTTTGATTCGAAGCCGAGTAGTAGTAGTGATAGTAATAAAGAAGAAGACGAGGAGAGTGAAAACAAAGAAAAGGTCGATAGATTATAGTAAGGTGATCAATATCCCATATTGTTGTGTTCAAGATAGCTGGGGAAAAGAATGCAACACACACCCAAAAGACAACACAAAGCACGCTCTCACTCGAATGTATCTTTTTCCTCTCTTTCTCGCTCTTTTTTTTCCCCAAAGTCCTACATAAAGTAGTCAAACTAACTAACTGCCTTATCCTCTGTAACACATGATCTGGCCGTGAAACAATCTCACTCACACACAAAAACGCACATATCAAATAATTTCTTTCTCATCTGCAGGTACCAAACATTGACCTTTCCAAGATGGACAAGGAGCGCGTGCATGATATCGATTTAGCCAACCACTTTTTCCGAAACATTTCGTACCCATTTTAGTAAAACCAGGCTGTGTATGTGTATATGCCATTGTTTGATGTTATGTCGTCGATGGATGATGTGTGTGTGTGTGTGCGTGCGTGTGAGCATCCTCCCCAATGGTTCTATTGCCATGTTTCACAATGCCAACTCGCTCTGATCCCCGATGCGTTTCGTTTCTCCCCCCTTACTTTGTTCGCCTCCCAATTACCTCAGTTGATTCAACACACACACACACACACATACATAGATATTTGTTTCCATGGCAATAGTTGCTATGGAAACATCATCATCATGCATCTATGACAAAACATCTTTAAAAGGAAAGAGGATGGAGGAGCAGTAAAGGGATCTTGAAATTCATGATGTACATCATAGCCATCATCTCCCGATGACACACACACACCACGACCACCAACCCCCAGCCCCGGCCGAGAGAGATGTGGTTAGAGTGGAAATTGCTGGTGCAGCCAAAATCTTAAAATGTGCTTCGAAAATGAATGGCCGTGTGACCCAATCCAATTATAGGGAGTGGCTGGTACATAACCCATATCACGACACCACATCCACCACCATCACCCGCCATCGCATATAGAATACAAGCTATACTTGATGTGACAAAAAGAGCGAGATAGGAGTTCCCAGTGGTGCTCGATATATACGCTTGTGTCTCGGTAAATTCTACTGTGGTGTCTAGCACGTTTCATTACAAGTACCTTTACCTTTTTGCATACCTCTCTCCTTTTTCCTTCTCAACGCGTCCGTGCAAAAGGGGAGATGAGGAGATGAAAGAAAGAGAGTAATGAATGATGCTAATGTAGATGTGGATATCGTAAAAGAGAGAAAGAGTAGCAGGAGAAGGAGGGGAAGGTATAAAAAGAAGATAGGGGTTTAAGCTTGGGACACTGGAGCATGGCAAATACTGTATCTTCATTCCAAAAGGGTGCTAACCATTCATCATGACTATTACTACTACTACTACTACTAGCTTGCTGCTAAGTGGTGATTCAATGGATCTAGGATGAGTTTAAAGCAATTCAAGCTTCGAAGGAGTAAATCCAAAGGCATGAATCATTGCCCTGAAATGTAATACTACGACTACGACTATGTACACAATATGCAAGGTAAAAAAACGCAGGTATAATAGGAACTTTGTGCATTTGGTGGTGGTGTGCATTAATGTGTGTGATCATGCAGCAGCAGCAGCAACCCTGGCGGTGCTTGCTTGGCACTGGCGATCCTCCTTTACCGATATTATATACTGCAGGGTTTATCTTTTACCACATTCATTGATACACATAGGATGGCAAGCGACCATTGACCATTCTAGGAAAGAGAACGAGGTGGAATTAGGGAAATAACTTAAAACTCTCGCAGATCATCGGGAGAAGATTATTCTCTCTCCCTCGTTAGAGGTGGCAAGGGCCATTTCTTTACTTGCTGAACGGACCGTGCTGTGTACTATCACATCCATTTTAGGGAGGAAGGAGGATCAAGAAATAAAGATACATAGTAAACCACCCCTCCCGCGTCTGCTGCTACCGGGGCTCCTGTGGAAAAGGCCAAGTGCATGCCCTTTAATGATTCATGAACGTGCTATATGTATCGGATCCCTTTGACTTGTTTCATTCATGCCTTTGCTATTGTTCAAAGACAAGATGGTCCTTTTTTGATGATGCCGCCAGCCCCTATCTCTCTCTCTCTTTATGACCTAACCTTATTATGTATATCTTCATCTCGGATCCAACAATTCCCCTTTGTGTACTATAACCCCCATCATCATCACCATCATCATCATCATCATCATCATCGCACACATACATACATACATACTTACATTGAATCTCAATCCTCCTCCTATCATCCGGGGCTACCTTTTTTTTCAACACGAATCTTTATATTATATGGCCACCACCGAGGCGCGTGATTAAGGACACGTTCAAAAATAAAAGGATCGCCCTATCTTCCCATCCTTCCTTTCCCTTCTCTCTTTTACTTTATTCTTCAAACGAGTACCATCACTTTTTTTCAAACACATATATAATGGGTTGTTGTATGTCTGCCGAAAGCGTCGAGAAACGACAAAGAAACAATGAGATCGAATCACAAATCAAACGAGACCGAGTCAATCAAAAGAACGAGATCAAGATGTTACTTCTTGGTAATGATCATACAAGCATGCAAGCATGCGAGACGACTTACACGTATCTATTATCTATAGGTGCTGGTGAATCGGGCAAATCGACCATTTTAAAACAAATGAAGCTGATCCATGATGGTGGATATACGCCTGAGGAACGAGAAAGTTTCAAGGAAGTGATTTACAGCAACACCCTTCAATCGATGAAAGTTACATTGGAAGCCATGACGATGCTTGGGATATCGATGCATAATCAAAGCAACCTTGTACACCGACAACTCGTATTGGATGCTCCTTCCCAAGTCGAGACATTAGGCCACGAGCTTGTGGAGGCCGTATGTGCCCTGTGGGAGGATCCGGGGGTGCGTCAATGCGTTGCACGTTCCAATGAATTTCAACTTAACGATTCTGCTCGATAGTAAGTAGTGGTCTCCTAATAAGGATCCCTTCTTCAGGATGGTACTCAACGTCTATTTTATGATTAGCTATTTTGATGCCATCATGCGAATCGGTCATGCCAACTACATGCCAAGTGATCAGGATGTCTTACGCTCCCGTGTCAAAACAACGGGTATCACCGAAACAACCTTCAATGTGCACAACACCGTGTATCGCATGTTTGATGTGGGTGGTCAACGCTCCGAACGCAAAAAATGGATCCATTGCTTTGAAAACGTCACTGCTATTGTGTTCCTCGTGGCCATTTCTGAATACGACCAGGTGCTCATTGAAGATAATTCGGTGAATCGATTACAAGAATCCTTGACATTGTTTGATTCCATCTGCAACTCCAAATGGTTTACAAAGACATCCATTATCTTGTTCTTGAACAAGATTGATCTCTTTGCAGAAAAATTGGGTCGTAGTCCACTGAGCAAATACTTTCCAGAATATACAGGTGGGGCGAAATACGAAGCTGCATGCCAATACTTACTGTATCGGTTCGTGTCTCTCAATGCCAAACACGAGACCAAGCAAGTGTACACCCACTTTACTTGTGCAACCGATACAAAGCAGATCCGCTTTGTCATGTCAGCTGTCAACGATATTGTTCTCCACGACAACTTGCGTAACGTCGGCTTGCTGTAAACGCTGATGGTGATGATGCATCATCATCATCCATTTCTTTCTTTTTATTATAGCCACCCTTATTATGTAATCTGTAACCCACTCTACAACACACAAACATCCTCCATTTTCATTCGCATTGTACATGCAATCATGTCTGGCTGGATCTCAAGACGTGAAAAGGTACAAGTACACAAGCATAATGATAATCCGCCATCCCTCATTCTGCTCCTCCTCTCTCTCTTCTCTTTTCCTTACTCCCTTTTTCTTCCCCATCTAGTCATCCTTCTTTATAGCTTGTATAATCTCATGCATCATATATATAAACCGCTGTTAATTCTTTGTCTCCTTTGTCATATAACTTGCGTGGGGCATTTGACTTTTTTTCCCTTACTACATACCCACACACCTTGTCTCCGAAAACACCGATGCATGCATGTATGAGTGCTACAAGGTGACTCGTAAAGTTAATAGCACTCTTTTGCCCTGACATGGTCATTGGTTGGTTGCCAAGAGCAAGTTGATGCAAGTAAGGTGGCATCATCATGGTTGTACAACCATGCGGTCGGGATGTTTGTGTGGTACACACATTCTTGTTCTTGTTGGAAGAGAGAACTTCAAACCAACAATAAGGTACCAAGCCTCCATACTTCAAACACATTGCACTTGTTTGTTTTTTAATTTGTGGCTCTACCCCATCTTGTGATCGTAATTGTGGTGCATCCAACGTACAACGACGACGACGACGACTTGATTGAGACATTGATGATCTTTTCATGATGATGTGCCAACAACGACTACTACTCCCGACAAGGCCATCAGGTCAGCTGCGGGTTGTACCTATCTGGGGCGGGCTAAATGGTTTACGGAAGATACCGAGAAGGGGTTGAAAAAGAGTTTTTAAGGAGACGCAAAAAAAAAGGATCATCGGCTCTCTCTCTGGTGTAAGTACTACTGCATCATCATCATCATCGTCATCATCATATGATCAGCCGCATGGAAGAAAGAAGCCCATGTTCCAGACACTCTCGCTCGTTGTCCTTGTGGGGTGAATGACCTTTATGTTTTTTTCACTTGCAGATGTTTCAATTACACACACACACACGCACATAAATAGACATTTGTAAACGATCGTCGGTCTTGTTTGCGACCCGCCCCTCTTCTTTCTTCCATTCTTTTCTATACAAACGCCACATCAAGCGATGCACGAGAATAATGAGATCCATGAAAACACTTCCAACCCCATCAGTAACAATGCCCAACATAGACAAGGCGCCTCTTCTACAGCCCATTCAGTCTCCAGCAGCAGTAGTAGTAGCACCATGATGGGTACCTCGGCATCATCATCCCAATGCAATGGCTTTGACATATCCTCTTATGAGCGTTACTCGGCATTTTGTGGCGATTGTGGTGTAGATGTCTTTCGTTTTTGTCATGAGCATTGGTGTAAGAATTTTGAATGATCCTACACATACATACATGTATATATGCATCCCTCCTCAAGTACTATATACCCTCGTATTCCTACAGACTCCATTGTAGTAGAACCCGCACACAGATACCATCTCCCGCTTTTTCTCACTCTCTTTGTTTTGCTTTCACTTGTTGTTCCTTTGATCGTTGTAAAACGCCTGCATACAAACAATAATACACACTAAATGTCATCACTTGTATCAACCGCTCCTCAGCTGACCTCTCTCCTTCCCCATACGCAAGACTGCTTTCTTCCTTTTATGGTCATTCTATTTATTATTACTACCTTCGTAGGCTGTATGCTTCTGATATCCTTCTAAAAGATCGACCTTTGTCCATGCTCGAAGAACAACTACTTGTTCGAAGTGCATATACAAGTTGCACCATGCGTTCTTCCATCTCGGGTATACCACCACCAGCACCACCAGCACCACGACGTTGTCGACTTTTTGCTTGTGGCAAGATACCTTTGATTTGCTTGAGACATTTTTGGAACACCAATTTGTTTTGGAAGGATTCACGTTGTGATATGGAGCCTAGACGATAGGCATCAATTTGCTGACAGAGATCGGCCATGTTGGAGTTGGCTCGATTCATTTGGATTTGAGCCATCAATATTTTCTATCATCATGTACATACATCATATCATGTGTTATTCCAAAAGAAAAGAGAGAGAGAGATAGCACATGCTGCTGCTGCTGCTGCTGCTTACCATCATGGTTTCTGGATCTTGTGAGCCACCTGCAGAAACGGGTGTTGGCGGTGATGATGATGATTGCTGGTTGTTTTCATCATCGTCATTGTTGGCAAGGGCAATGAGTGTTTCAGATGTAGAAATCCCAAGTTCATGTAGCGAAATCTGAGTATCCGGTGCCAACTTGTCCTTGGCTGGTATTTCGGTCAAAAAGCCTAGCGCCATAAATACTTCAACCGCCATTCGACTTGATTCGGTGGATAATACTTCGCGGTAAATGGTGCGTCGACCCGCTATCAAATGTGTGGCAATCCATTGCGATAATAGTGGCACAATGCTGCGTGGAATCATAGGCACAGTATCAAAGGCTGAAAGTGAACAAGAAGCGATCCAGTATGAGTCGATGGTTGGGTATAGCAACGATGCCATAAATATGAGCTGCTCGTATCGCACCAAATTACGTTCCATGCTGGCTTCAAGGTACAAGCAGCTATCACAGCTACTATCACCACTGTTACGTCGTCGTCGTCGTATCACCTTGCGTTCCTCATAGGCTCCCAAAAGCGACTCGAATTGCTAACACACACCATCACATTGTTGGCGTTTAGGATCCCAACACCCCCTGGCTTTGCTTACGTACCTGTTCAATGTCCCAAGATACAACAAATTCTCGCTCAAGCAACTGCACAAGGAATCGAAGTCGATCCATAAACTCATCTTCGGCCACTGTCGTCTCCGTGAATGATAGATAAACCACCGAAAAGAATGCATCAGGTAAAAATATATCTACAATCTAGAATCTCATTAATACCATGCATGGTTGCTAAGCAATTTGAAATGTATATTACCTGGTTGGTATAATAGGACAACGTCATGACATTGTCAGCGTGGTCGTTCACGCGAATATTGGTATCATCGGTCACTTGGCTGCCTTCCACAATGATATTCTTGCTGTCATCCAATAAATGAAAAGCATGAAGAATCACCGAATTGATGTCCTCTCCCTCTATAATATATACAAGATGATGAGTGGTGATGTTATCCATAATCCAAATGCATAAGATATTTACCTTGCCAATCAATCCGATAACCTCTCAAGAGAACCTCTGTTCTCAACCATTCTGCCATATCCTTCATTTTACCTAGTAGTAGACGCATGTTTAGAAATAAGCCCAGTGTATGTATACGTGTGATAATGATCCTACCAAAGCTGACACCACCTGTTGTCCGCCCGTACAAGATGATGCTTGCAATGAGTGAGACTGGTGATACAATGAGCGCTTTGCGTTGATTTTCTTGCACTTGATTTTGAATGTTGGAAATCAGCTTCGCCATATCCGCAGCATCATCAAAAGATCCACTATGAGAATGAAATGATTAAAAAATGAATGACATGCCAAATGTTCTTTGTTGCTTACCTGCTTGATCGTTGGTATTCTTCAGCAGCATCTTGTATGCTTACAAGAGGACCCATGCCCACAAGGACACGTCCAAATTTCCCATCCTTATCATCGTGATGTTGTTGTCCTCCATCCTGAATATGCATGTCGTTTGGACGTAAGCCATTAGGTGAAGTGGCGACATTCTCTGGCATGGGTGGGAGATTTCCACTTCCACGTCGTTTGGTAGAACGCATATCCAAAAGATCATCCAACAAATACGGCAATTCTGGCATCTTTTCATAGGTGATGTTGATGGGAACAATGAAAACGTCTCGATTAATCTTGCGTGCCATGCCATTATTCCCACTTGGACTATCCATGGTGATGGGACTGTAAAGTGAGCCTGGCGTATCGGGAGACGTGGGTGGTGTGTTTTCGGCTTGGGCAACACGTGACATGGCGGATGAACGCGTTTGATTGGATTGAAGGGTCGATTCAATGATCATATGAATAAAACCGTCATCATGGGGTAGCTGGTATTTGCCGCTACGGCTGCGTGATCGCTCCATACAAAATGTCAATGCACCATGTTCTCGTAATAGCACTTGGGTATAAGCAGCCATGACAGCCGTCTTGAGGGGTGATCGTTGATCCTTGTCACGCTTAATGTAATAGGAGCCACATACGCGGTAGATGTCTGAAAGGGGCCCGAGTTGAGCGAGTGCTAATAATACCCATTAATACAATGACCCATATTCTTTGTTTATATCACTTACTTTCATCACAAGCAAATGCCGGCACTGGGAGATGATAGCGTATGCATATATACCATATCAAGAGGGGATCCAATACACTTTTTGTGACAGGGACATAGATGCAGCGTTTGCCAAGAGTTGCAGCTTGAATCTAATCTTTTGTATGAGGGACATCATTGGTACCAATAGCGTATGTTTATCTTTTACCCTTCGTATGTTCTCGTCCTGAACGCGCACGCTTTCAAACATGTCATCGAAAAGTGATTTCAAAAAGCACCCTGCAAACCACACAAAATAAAGTTGGGTCTTTTCGCTCATGCGACTGAGGATTTTCTATTGAAACAAAATGAAAAAGGTCATGTTCATAAGCTGCTAGTAGCTTCACATCCAATAATCTTACAATGGCTTCATTGACAGCGGTTTGCCGTTGCACACCCGCTTTTCTTGTAATCTATCACGTTGTCATTAGCAACGACGTCGTCGTAGGCATGGCAGCCAATAAAAAGGGTAGCTTACCTGGGTAATGGCATGATTCACACGCTTGTCATTGAGAATCACAATTTTGACAGGATCATCGTTGCCACCTGCTTTTTTCCTCCACTTGCCAAGCACCATACGCAAATCCCTGTCAGACCCAAATCCAGCGGCATCTTGACACCAATCATCCAAGCTGTCATCCATATCATTCATCCATTGTTCATCATCCTCTTTTCCACGTTGTCGTTCATTGTCGCTTAGTAAATGCTTGACATGTATCACCATGCGCTCCATTCGCTTATTCACTTGATCCACCGTGTACACAGAGCTCTGAGCAGGCTTGTCAATGATACGATGAGCAGGATTGCCACGTGCATCATAGGGAAGCAATGCACAGCTCCATCCTGAGAGGGGTATCGGTAATCGCAATTTGGGTTCTTCACACACATAGTAATGTACACCAAAGCTCGCATCCACGAAATAGTTACGCCAAAAGCTATTATCCACATCTTCAGGTACCAAGCTGTAGGGATCCAGTTGACTCGATTCCAGGCGCCGTTTCAATCGAAGAGCATTTGCATCAAGAATGGTCGTGGATGTATAAAGTAATGAGGCGATGCTGCTTTGTTGTAAAGATGCTTTGTGGCACCAATGTCCAATCGAAGTCGTTGATAATGTGTGCATGGTCCTTTTATCAGTGGGGATGGGTGATGAAGGTGGAATAGCACCATTGACGCCCACATAAGAGGAAGCGGCTGTTCGAATCGTAGCAACAATAGTACGTGCACGAGCAATGTGAAGTGCCGATGCTGCAAAGTAGTTTTGGGGTGTCATAAGGTGAATGCCGATCGCTCTCATCCAATACAGTCGCATTGATTCATAGGCTGAATTCCATGGTAAACATCGCATGTTGGTAATAGTCAGATGATAAATGTATGGAAAGGTAGGCGTGCCAAGTGGCTCCTCTTCTTGTTGAAATGTCGTCTTGGAGGATATTCGATGATGAGTGGTTGTTGTAGTAGAGGATCGTGAAATGGATACTTCATCTGCTGAAGAACCTGCCGAGTCACGAATGGGTATGGTTGATGTGGTTGTAATACTGGATACTGAACTACGTCGAGAGATGTTGGTATCTGCGAATAATGCTGGTGTTGGTATCTCATAGTCGTCATCCTTGGGTGGTTTGATGGTTGCCGCACAACCGAGGATCATTCGTACAACGAGGTCTATGGGTATCACGTCGACTGGTACGTTGCCATGTGCTGGATTGATAATGCGTTTGCCTTGGCCCATAAGTAACAACGCCCCATTGAAGCCATTGATACCATCCGACTATCATCCACGTTATTACATTGAAGAAAGAAAGCCCCTTTCCCACTCCCCCAAACTTACCCATCCAACAAGAGGCTCACTTATACTAGGTCCAAAAGGGCTGGATCGTAAGATTGCAATAGGAAAATGAAGCCCACCACGATTCTTCTTTTTCTGAACCTCCTTTGAAATAACATGTTCAATCAACGATTTGGATAGCAGATAGCTGTCTGGATATTCCGCCTTAAATAGCTCAAGCACTGCTGGCAAATCTATCCATACATACCCATTTCTTTTAATACCACTGAAGCTTTTACCCTTAGCTCATTCATTCCCCATTCGTACCTTCCAATCTTGAAGTAAGTATCCCATCGACAATGTTATCAGCATCACCAGCTGGCACCGGAAACAAATGGTTTTCAAAAGCACTGGAGAATTGCATTTGGATCGGCGATAGATGAATAAACGCTGCAAGCTCCTTGCATTCATCAGCAATCTGCAAAAGATCCAATGTACCAAGCACGTTGACCTATCATGGTTTTCCCTTAGTTTAACCCTCTTTTGATCATCCTTCCTTCATTCAAACTTACCCTGACAGCCATATCAAGACGTGCATTTCCATCCACCAAGGCTGCACAATGCAAGATGACTTGAGTTTGTGCAACCAACATTTGTCGTTCAGTACCAGCAATGCCAAGTGCAGGTTGTAATAAATCCCCTTGAATCACGCAAATCTTGTCATTGATCGTCATATCAAATAATGTGGGCCCCATGGAACGACGCATCGCCACAAATGCCTATTTCCCCCATGTATCCGTGTCAGCTGATTCATCATCCTACATCCACCACCAACCACGTTGACTTGCCTTATTGCTCATGATCTCATCATAAAACCTATCACTGGCATTGGTGGATAGTGAAGAAGGGCGCACCAATACAAAGACTTTTTTAACATCCAGCATCAACAGCTTCCAAAGTAAGGCCTTTCCCAGGAACCCAGTAGCACCCGTGAGGAATACAGTCTTGTCTCGATAAAAGTCATGTACGTTTTCTTCTACAGCTGCTGGTGGTGGTGGTGGTGGTGATGACATGGACCTTGCTTCGTTGTTGTCATTGTCCTCGTCGTCTATCGTGGTGCTGCTGCTGCTGCTGCTGCTGCCACTAGTCGTACTGACATTGTCGGGGCTCATTTCCACCATAGCATCTCTGTCAAGGGCTTCCATGCTGTTCACAACGTCAAAAACAGTAGGCGATCCAGGTCGTGAAGGTGCCGGACTTGTCATGTTCAATTCCTCAGACTCCAAGTCGGGATTGGTGATAGAGATTGTAGGAATGTCTGCCATGGAGGAAAAGGAAAGGAGACGAGTCGTGCAACTTGGCGTCGGTTGTTGAAGGGTAACACAAGAGAAGCGAAAAAAAAGAGTGGTGGTGTATCCATGGACCTTTACAATTCAACTCCTCCCCACCAACCCAACCCCAATTTGACATCATGATATGCATGAAGAAAAGACCACTCCATTATCACCCAATTCATATTGTCCCTGAAAAAGGTGGCTTCCTTATAGTGGTAGTAATAGCAGTAGTAGCAGGATTCGAGATGATCAGCTTATCTTTAGTACTTGCAGATGCACGTTTACCTTAGCAGTTCAAATTAAAGAAGGGATGGCCTGCAGGTGATTTATGCCACTATTGGATGACTCTTTATTTACATGTTGTATTTTTCTCATGGGCGAAGACGAAGATGCATGATGGCTCGTTTCATCAAATCGTCTTCCATGTAACACCACGTTATTCATTTTCATTGTTATCAGGATAAATATAGATATCTTGCTTTGTTCATCCATCTGCTGTTCTTTGTTTAAATCGGTGATAGCGGTGGTTCATGCTTCTTTTGATCATTGTCTTTCATCTCGGGTTGCATGTAGCCTTAGAGGAGTATCAGACTTTCATTTTGATAAAGAAGCTGTTTCTTGATGCATTTACCTTGAAAGGAAGCGTTCGTCCAAAGACCCCAACCAAAAATCAAATGTCCTTTAGCCAATTCAAAGCAATATGAGAGCAACACACTCATGCCTTGGGGACATATGCAAATCATACGCCGCGAAGATCTGTTACCATGACATCAGGGTAAGCTGCAAAAAGTGAGCTGAATGGATAGTGTCCCTTGGTAATCCATTTCGGTGACACGACCCAAAGGATACTGTACCATACCAATTGCATACACCACCATAATAACATTGCATGATCCAAAACTGAAGCATGTACATAGGATTCTTGGTGAAGAGCGAAGAAACGGTTGTGTGCGAGTTTAAGAAATACTTGTCTTATCCTGACATCCAACCAAAAAGAAGCGATCAAGAGACAAAGCAGGGTTTGCATAGTAGGATGACTTGGTGGGACATGACAGAAATGGGCAGTGCCCTTGATAAGGCAATGAAAGAATGGAAGGAGAAACACATGTAGCGGGAGGTTAGTTCTTTGTTAGCACAAGCTTTCAAAAAGTTTTTGCTCACCCAGCGCATAACTTCATCTACACATACACATACACCCAAACACCCAACACCTCGTCCTCATGATCATGATAGCAAAATTGCATGTAGTAAATAACTCCAAATCATCCTCACGTATACCAAAAGAATGTCATTTTGTATCCAATGATCCAACAACAACAACCATTGCCTTACAAGCAGCTACCTAGCATCATCCCTTTTTTTATTCACGCCACTCTCAAGCGTCCCTTTATTCTAGCATGCTTGACATCGTTCACAAATAGAAAGTCCCACTTTGCATACGTATACGATCACAATCATGAACACCAATAACAAGATCAACCGCACTATCTCAAGATTGCACAATCAAGCAATGGCATAGTTAATATTCTAGAAATGATCAGCGCATCCCAAAGCATCTATATCTATTGACAAAGCCTCAGGCCTGAGGTTTGAGATGCGTCGATGGCTACTCTGCATCCTGCTGAGTGACCTTCCTTGCAACATAACAAAGGCGATTTTACGTCCCATCATCTCACTCAAGCTACTCGCGGTTGCACTGAGCATTCTGGATTATTAATCATACCATGGTTAACTTGAAAAAGATTGCATACACGCTATCATAGGCGGACCTTACTATGGCTGATGGTGAACGATCCATTATTCATCATGCACCTTCCACCAATAGGATTTATTCTTCAGGTCGCATCCTCGCGTCAATGGGTTACACAAAGAAGTCCCTCTGCATCTTATTGGTTCTAATATGAGGCGATTGACGATGAACAACGACCACTTTTCATATAGCATCACGCTTACAGCATATGTAAAACATAAAGACAGCCATATATCAAAACTTTACAATGAAGTGTGGGGACTTTAAGAGAACAAGCTGCTCGGCTGAGTCAAAGCGATCTTGTGTCAAAGTATGAAGTTCATCGTGGCCATTCCCAGATTTCGCAATGTCGCCACCAGCCAAACTGGATCTGGGGGTCGACCTCTTCGACGACGACGACCAAAAAAATATTTTTTGGGCTAGTTGCGACATTGAACGCGAAACTTTCACACAAGGTGCTGTTGGCTAAGCCGAGCCCATTGCTCTAATAAAAACCCCACGCTTCATTGTAAAGTTTGGAGATACAGGCACATTTATGTTTGTAAGCGCGATGCTATATGAAGAGTGGTCTTTGTTCATTGTCAAGTAGGTGGACCCTGGCAGAGCAAAAGATGCAGAAGGACCTCTTTGTGTAACTCATCTACGTTTGCATGACTGGAAGGATGGAAGGATGATACTATATACTGTTGACAAAAGCCCGTACATCGCGAGCTAACAGCCATTTCTTCACAACAGCCACTGTTGTCCACTCTATGACATGTGAGTGATTCTCCTGCTTCAGACATTCATTTCCATGATTGGATTATGTTGATCCGAGTTGATTTGACCGAGATACAGCCAAAGACGGATTACATCAATCCACACATCTAACCATGCTCTATGTTGCTCAACTGAAGTAACCTTGTATGAGCGTAGCTCAGTCAAATCAACTCGGATCAACATAATCCAATCATGGAAATGAATGTCTGAGGCAGGAGCATCGTTCCACTGTCATAGAATGGGCAACATTGCCGATTGTGAGGAAATGGCTGTTAGCTCGCAATGTATGGGATATTGTCGATAGTATACAGTATCATCCTTCCATCTTTCTAGTCATGCAAAGTAGCTGAGTTACACAAAGAGGTCCCTCTGCGTCTTTTGCTCTGTCAGGGTCCACCTACTTGACAATGAACAAAGACCACTCTTCATATAGCATCACGCTTACAAACATAAAGGTGCCTGTATCTCCAAACTTTACAATGAAACGTGGGGTTTTGAATAGAGCAATGTGCTCGGCTTGGTCAACAGCACCTTGTGTGAAAGTTTCACGTTCAATGTCGCAACTAGCCCAAAAAATATTTTTTGGTCGTCGTCGTCGAAGAGGTCGACCCCCAGATCCAGTTTGGCTGGTGGCGACATTGCGAAATCTGGGATTGGCAAGCTTGATCGTGAAACTTTCACCCAAGGTGCAGTTGGCCAAGCCGAGCACGTTGTTCTATTAAAGACCCCACGTTTGATTGTGAAATCTTGAGATATGGCTGTCTTTATGTTTCGCATATGCTGTAAGCGTGCTGGAGTTGCTTTCTCCTAGTGGATGGTGTCGGCTGCATGAACGGAAAGATGGAGAACCGAGTGAAATGGCACGTGGTAGTTCCACACGAGCGTCCTTGACAGATTGTTGCACAAATGGGTGATGTTGATGATTGCCTTTATGAAGGTACACAAGTAAGCAATATCCAATAAATGAAGGTGTATCAAAGTAACTGCTTTATAATAACACGCGTATATTACGGATGGATGCTTGTACATACTACATCCATGCTGGGTACAGGGGGTCAAGCTGCATAAAAAGAAATTAGTTTGATAATGCCGCACGGGCCTAAATGACGCCACCTCCTGGACACCGTAAGATCATCTATAGCTTAGTTATGAATGCTATGTTCAATTGGCATCACGAGCAGTGGTTTGTTTTTCTTCACACAAATGTATAGGATATTGTTGGGGGTACATATTAACAGAGGTAACTGTAGCAAGCGGGCTGGGTGGTGTGGAGTGCACAAATAGAGAGCAATGAAACGCAAGACAAAGAGCCACTTCTTCTCCTCTCCCGCTTCACCAAACAACGTACGATGAACTTCATTTACAAAGTACAGAGCATCAATTGCTGCCATTGTTGCCTTCAATGCACAGCGTCGGTGGGCGAACAAGTGATCCATGGCAACGCTTTCCAGTGGCAACAAGTACGCGTGCGATCTACGAATGACCCAAGCTTCCAATCCAATATAACATGTACGTTCGATCGCGGCGCTACTTTATTATTCAAGCTGGACGTTACGATACTAAAGATCCCGTGTGGTTTGCTCGGTTTCTCGTTTATACAGGAACCATGGTGTCCAAGGTGTCGTGTGCATGATTTCTATTTCTATGGATACCATCAAGAAGAGGACCCCAACACAAAACTACTTTGGGTATGTTGGCAAAGATCAAATGCTATGGTTGACATCATCTTACATTGTATTTATTGTAGCTTGAGCATATTGAATGATAGTACCTGTGGCAGCAACAAGATATTAATCTCAAGCAAGAACGACCCTGTACATTGTTTCACTGGTACGCATGATATTGAATCTACAAAGCAAGACTTGTTAAATAACGGCTTTTCCGATGAAATAGCAGCAGCACATTATGGATGGAATTGAAGGAGATGGGGTTATTGGAAGAAGAATGCAATTGAGAAATGTCCCAAGTAGGTAAAGTGGTGTCCTGGATGGTCATCTTCATCAAAGTGAACTTACAAAAAGAATTAGAGTGGCAGGCTCTCGCTCGACTATTACTATTATCACAACAGCACATCCATGGTGTTACTGTACTGTGCTAGGGAGATGACCATGCTGTGTTAGCAGAAACCGGTGCGATTCACGGAGCTATTAGAACCTGATGTGCATCCAAGGATCGGCTCTATCATTGTATGACTTATGCTTTACTCGCCTTGGAGAGAAGATGGTACCTCTATTGGCAACATGCGGGATCCTCAGCTCATAGTGGTGTCAAATCGGCTTTATGGAGAGCTCATGACAATGGGTCCCTGAGGAATCGAGTGTCGAGACCAAAAGGCACGACGACATGCAGGATATGGATGGATCGGTTATGTTTGGATAAATCAGCATGATGCATACAAGAAGGCGTTCGTTGCAGTCATTTGGGATATACCGGACCCTGGTGCTTCTGATCCCTTAAGAAGGCCGACCACTTTATCAGCTTA